ACATATATATATTCATATATTATTTTAAGTATAGGTATTAATAAGTAAGTAATTGTACAAACTAGTCTACAGTCTACGCTAATTGAGCAGCCTCTATGCGTACCGAGACACGCAAATGATGAAATAACTCAACATAATCGTTACACATAAACATCGGCAAGAAAGCTGCAGAATATCATCGTAAGGCAGTTTGTTGTCGTTGTGGTGATAGTAGATACAGATACCTATACAATATTTTCATAATATATGTACAGGTGTCATGGTACAGTATAGTATAGTTATAGTATAGTATAATCCCGTTATCGTAATTAGTAACCCCTCCTCGTATAACACTAACGAAGAATATGTAGTATAAAATAGAGATGCTTCAACGAACATTTCGAATATTTTTTATGAGCATTGTCGATAGTAAGTATTCAGTTCGTTCATAGTGCCATTTTATTTTTTTGTACGTTGGACAGTTCGTCTATGAGGCCATAAAATTGTCGCGGATTGTAATTATTGTTGAAAAGAAAACGAGCTGAGGAAGAATATTATTACAGGACGTAGAAGAAGATGCGAGCGTATCTATGGGGTTCGAGGATAAACGAGTCACGGCGACTTGCTCTGGGACGAGAGCGAGTCCTGTTCCCGAGACGTTCCCGCCGGACTCGTTTCAAGTCCGTCGTCGGGAACAGTAGCTTGAAAGAAACGGTCCGCTTCACACATTAGGTTCGCACTAGAACAGCACTGACTTGCATGATCGGTAGGACCGCTTGCGGCCACGGCAGCGGCGGCTGCAGTCGCTTCGTCCATTAGGATCACGGTATTCTGCTCAGTGTTCGAGCCCGATACGACCGGGTGCGAAATCATACCGAAATCCTCCTGATCGAGGGTGAACATGGGCGTGCTCCACCTCGGGATCGCGCTAGAACGCGGAGTGCCTCTCGATGTACTCACGTTGGGAGAGTACATGCTCAGGTTGGTAGGACTGATAACGCCAGACATCCCGCTCATAGTGGGGTAACTGAAGAGCTGTAACAGAGTATAGTTAGGTCCTACGTCACGTATCTCCCCGCAAGCACTACCAACATGTCCCGGCTGGGCGTGGAAGTGGTTGAAAGAGTAATCCCGGCTCGGAGAATAAGGACTGCTCGTTGGTACCGAGCTGTTACGCTGACTCGGCGATTTCCTTCGATCCTGGTTGCCCGGGCTCAGCGGCGGAGACGAGCTCAGCTCGGGCACGTCGTTTGCCGGAGACGCTTCGCTTCCGGGGGGTGTTATACTGGCCGGAGGGGAGTTCGTGCCGCTCATGTTCACGTCACCCGTCGACCGGATTATCGCCACTGGTCGGGCCATCGGAGGCAACGGTGGCGGCGGTAACATTGTCGTAGGGAAATACTGCGATTTCGGACTCCTTGATATATTTGGTTGCATCTGCAACAAAATCTATCTGTTGACCTGATCTACGGATTGGTTCTTCAACTTTCGATATTTTTTAAAAACTATTGACGTAATAATTCCGTAACTCGTAAAAGACAAAATTGGGAAAATCCCAAACGAATTCGATAATTAATATGTAAAGTAAATTGCTACCGTGTTGTACATGTTCTTACGAAAATAACGAGACGACAGTAATGTGGTACACGTTAAGAATATTTCTTGAAGAAAGAAGAAAAATTTTGGCATGGAATAGTGAAGCGGGTGCCAAGTTCAGCAAACGTTATCTGTATAGGTGTTAAAGAAATGTCACGAGTGTTAGACGCCATTTGTCTAAAATAACAACGAAACGTTGACCGAATTATCAACTAATCTGCGCAAATGTATGTTAAATACTTACTTGTACACCCTGAGAACTGTTATCCGTTTCTTGGCATACGAAAGTAACGAAATCGGTTAACGTGTCATGACCGTTCTCGGGATACTTCACTTGATTTTGGTGATGCTGATGAGTGTCAGGGCTATGCTGGTAAAATAATGTACTAGGGCTCGCTACTTGGGAACTCGTCGATACTAACGCTGTATTTTGAGGCATTGCTGAAATGGAAAATTACATCCTCATAAACCTTTTAGCATTTTTTAACGCCAACCTTACAGTAACACTAAAAGGACCGCGCTAGGACCTTACGAAAAATTCAGTAGATATAATTAGAAATCCTTACGGAAGAATGCAACTTTAAGAAACCATATCTCAAAAAAATCAATTTTTACGACTTAGCGCCCATTTAGACTTTTAATCTACAGGTCAAGAACTACGAGAACTCAAAGTTTCAAATAGTTCGACACAGGCTCATTTTCCGTAATGATCTAGCGGGGTCCTTTAATAATAATCATAATAAATAAATACTTAAAACGACGGAATTGCTTTTAATATTCATTATAATATACGAGGGTGGATTGATAAGTTTCCGGCCTAACCAAGAGATGACGCCACTAGGCCTACCTTGAGGTGACATTCTATAGTACCATCCTTGGATAGCTTGTAGCTATAGTTTCAGCCCGATCTCCTTGCTAGTGTAGGTTTGACAGCACGCTGAACAAGACGCCTCTGTGGTTTTCGTAAAAATGGAAAAGCAGGAAAATCGTGCTGTCATCAAATACTTTTATTTGAAGGGGTTAACGCCGAAGGAAATTAAAAAAGAGATGGACTCAACACTGGGGACATCCTCCCCGTCATATTCAACCGTTAAGCAGTGGGTTTCCGAGTTTAAAAAGGGTCGTGTGAGCACCTCTGATGGGCCTCGCTCAGGACGCCCCGTTGAGGTCACAACTCCAGATATGATCGAAAAAATTCATCAAATAGTGCTGGGAGACCGCAGATTGAAAGTGCGTGAGATAGCTGAGACCTGTAAGATGTCATATGAACGTGTGCAACATATTTTGCACCAACATTTGCATATGGAAAAGCTCTGTGCAAGATGGGTGCCGCGTTTGCTAACAGTCGACCAAAAATTGATTCGAAAAAACATTTCTACCGCAAATTTGTCATTGTATAAGCGTAATCCAAGCGAATTTTTGCGTCGATTCGTAACCGTTGACGAAACGTGGGTCCACCACTACACTCCTGAAACCAAAGAACAGTCTAAACAGTGGATTGGACCAGGGGAACCAACTCCAAAGAAGGCAAAAACAATTTTTTCGGCGAACAAGGTTATGGCTACTGTTTTTTGGGATGCAAGAGGTATTATATACATTGATTACCTTGCAAAGGGTAATACTATCACTGGTCAATACTACGCAGACTTATTGCAACGTTTGAGCCACGAGGTGAAAATTAAACGACCTCATCTGGCGAAGAAAAAAATCTTGTTTCATCACGATAACGCACCAGCGCACACGTCAATCGTTGCGACGGCTAAAATCAACGATCTAAAGTTTGAATTGATGCCGCACCCTCCTTACTCTCCAGACCTAGCCCCGAGTGACTATTTTCTGTTCCCTAATCTCAAAAAATGGCTTGGCGGTAAGAGATTTGCGGACAATGAAGAAGTAATCGAAGCTGTAAATGGTTATTTTGAGGAGCTTGACGAATCAGTCTATAGAGATGGCATTAATAGACTGGAACACCGCTATGAGAAATGTATCAGCCTTGGAGGAGATTATGTTGAGAAATAAAAAAAAAAAATTTTTAAAAACCTTGTTTTTCTTGGTCAGGCCGGAAACTTATCAATCCACCCTCGTAGAATTCAATTAATTATTTTGGCCTGTTAGCGTTTATTGGATTTTTCTTTTCTTTTCCAAAAGACCCAATCTCTATACTTTGGGCTGATTATATATTAGGATAAAACTATCACCTAAAGTTGAACTATATTCTAATATTAACTACTATTATTACTTTTACATGTTCATTTAGTCTAGTCGATAAGATTCTTTCCTGTTTGGCCAATATAGATTTTGCTTCGCATTCTCTACAAATAATGTTACGCACTTGTGATTTTTTATTATTTTCTATTTCATCTTACTATCAATACCAACCAGAATTTAACATAATTGGCAAAATACTGTAACGACTCGATATCAAAAGAAATTTGCAAATTTTTGAAATATCGAAACTAAAATTATTAAATAATCCTAAAGGTGTTTGTAAACTTTTAGAAGCTTTCAAATTAAATTATAGCAAAACACTTTTCGTTTTTCACAATGGTAATAACAGTAACGGAACTACTTTAAAATGCATTTCTGTCCTTTCTTGCACTAGAGGTAATTGATCAAGCGGAATGAATATCAACGACAATTGCGTTCGATTAAACGCGATAAATATCTAATGTCACGTTTAGATTTTCCGTTCGAACAAGAAACTGAATGGACGTTTTCCCATTTGAATCTGGAAAAAATAATTTCTTTGCGTAGGTGCCAGACAATGAATGAGCGAATTAGTTACCACAGTCCCCGATGTACCTAATTATTATTCTTGTACATACATTCAAAGCCGTATCTTTGACGAATGCATCACAGCAAACTTCCTTGTTTCACATACACTAATGGCGAATTAAGAACCGAACATATAGCATATGTAATCATCGAAGGGTGGCATCATCTTTTGAAAAATACAACGCGGTATGGTGGTGAATTTTCGTGATGCAAACACCTTCAGTGTTTAAACGAATTTTTTAACGGGAGCATTTAATAGATAGACTGCCAGAACGAAGACATGAACCATTAACCACCACGGTTAATGGTTCATGCATTCATGTAACTATCCAGTGCGTCTCTAGTCCAAACCGATCTTGGTTCAGATAACGGAAGGTCGAAAACTAGACCGTCAAAAGTTTTTTGAACGTATAAACTGTTGAAATAAATCATTTAAAAAATATCCTTCTGCAGACAACAAAATACGTTTGAGCTTTCAGCGCTACCCCTATCAAAGAAACAAGCTGGCCGGCCGGCACAGCATGTTATTTCAATCCAGTTAAAAGCTTCATGCATCCGAATGCAACAAAAAAATAAATCGAATCTCACTTTGAAAACCTCTGAAACCTTTTTTAATCAGAGCAAGAATATTCAGACATTTTGTGACTGAGAATTAAAATAGAAAATTGGAAAAAAATGTTTTTTCTTGGGTCTCGATCCGGACACCACCTAAAATTACTTGCCGACCCTGCAGGTGGAATTTTCAGATACATATGATCGGAAAAACTATGCTTAAAATGAAGAAATGACGAGAAAACTATGTGTAATTTCTATGTAGGGCCGCAAAGTCGTTTTATAAAGTCTTAATGAAAAATAAAAGGCAGCAAATTAAAAATTGGCACCGAATACTACGACACCTTGACTTGAACTAAACAGAAAAAAGAGGTGTGACGTAAAAAGCCAGCTGACGATGAGATATTTTCGATTTTTATTTTTAGGCTAACAAAAACCATTTCTGTATTTCCCATTGGGTACGACACTGTTGTGTCGCAATAATTATCTCTTAAGAATATCTGTCGCTGTCTCAACTTTTCCTGAACTCGACTGTATTTTTCTTGGGTATATTACAGGGTTTTATATACGCGATTTCTTCGCCGTTTGTGAACCGATTTTAATGATCCCAGTTAAATTTGAACAAAATATTTCACCTATAAAAATAGGAAATTAGGGGATGATTCTCGTTTTTTTTTAAGACTGTACGTATAGAGAAAGTATTGAAGTCCGTTTTAATTAAATGCTTAATTGAATTGATAAAAGTGCACATTTATACTTTCGAAACAAAATAAAAAGACATGTTCGTGTAGTATCTACGTATTGCCAACGTCAGTGATCAAAAATAGACGTGCAATAACGGAATAAATTGCTTTTATTTTTATTTTTCTCGATCTAGCGACGTACCGTAGGGATACATGTTAAGACGTTTGTTAGAATTTCGAAAAAATTACATGATTGATAAATATGTGATAACTTACAATATGTAGCAGAAACGACCATAGTTTCTACAGAAGTTGGACGATCAGTAGCAACTGCTGCTCCTTGATCCGAATAACTATTACAGTAATAACCAGAATGTTCTACTTTCACACTATTTATATTGGGTTGTGGTTCCGACATTTCTTGTAAAATTGAAGCTGAAATGAAGGAGAACAATTAAAAACAAAAAATAGTTTTCGAATTGAAATAAAACTTACATTTCGATAACCTCCACAGTTCTTTGGATGAAAATACCCCTGTTGCCATTATTATGTCGTTACAAACTACCCCATTGTACGGATTATGCGTATATCCTGCAAAAGAAACGGACTTTATTGATTGTGCTTCCAATGCAGATGAATTAACAATATAATTTATTACAGAACATTACGTTTTAACTATGACTGCAACTTTAAAAATAGACAAAAAAATGGCCCACTGACTATTTATTAATTGCTTACAACACTGGCGATTGTCTTTACTATTACACCAAATCTTACCAAGTCGAACTCGTTCTGTAATAAATTACTGCAACAGGGGTATTTATATCGTAAACTCAAAGAAAAGCAACTAAAGACCTTAGATATCAGGCATCGATTTTTATATGGTACTTATTAGTTTTATTATTATACAATTTTCGAATGTTTATGCATGGGTGGTTAGATTTTTTTTGTTTTTTAATAATGACTTGGTAAGATTTGGAAGAGTTTATGATGTAAAAAACTGTTGAGGTTTTCTTAATACGAAATAGAAGTAGGTTTGAACAAAACGATACATTAACACTTAAAATTACCTTTATTTTTTCGTTCTTCGTCCTTTTTTGTGTTATTGTTGTTATTATAATTAACACCGCTCAGTATTTCTGTAAAGAAAAGTCAGGCTCAATATTGTATAGCAAATACATTTAGGTATACGTGTATAATTGCGCGTAGGGACACCTAAAGGAACAAGTTTAGTAAGGCTGCTTCTGCATGCTCCTTTTTTTACGATTCGTTTTATGATTTCTCGACAAAATATTGAATCAAAAGAACGCCTTTTTCCACTATTTTATTTTCTTACTATCAATTGTAAACCACCTTTAGCACATGTGGATTTCTGGCTGGCATCTGTTGGCATCGGTTCTATTTAAAAATTCCAACGTATTATTTGTAAACGCCGTTGCATAAATATTTAGAAATTCGACGTTTTCCGTATCTATATCTTTTTGTTTAAAACATAGTGACCGTGACCTAGTGGAGTTCTTATGCCAACATTTAATAATAATGACAAGTGGAACTTAATAAACTACCGTTCAAAAAATGTTTAGCCTATATCGACATTATTTTTTTAAATCTTGTACTTCGCAGCTAGATAAGAGGGCGTACCGCAAGGATCGGTTTTAGGACCCGTCCTTTTCACGTCGAAAACATGACTTATAACTAAATTAGGAAAATTAGTGAGGTGAAAAATGCGTAATGTTATATTTAGGAATGCTACAAACAATTTATAATTCGCAAGCCAAAACAACAGTTTATGAATCGTACAATTTGATGTACTTCCAATTGTTTTCAAATTCTCAAGACACAACGTCGGAATCGTCTGGACATTTGACAAGTTCATTGGCATCATATTCTACTTATAGGTACATACATAACACAAGTGCTCGATGGCGTAACAAAGTTTACTTTCTATATTTTCAAAAAGGATGTAGATAAACTAAACAAACTTACCATGACTGTTGATGAAATTAGCCAAATACAAATCCAGTTCCCTAACAGAGACGTTGATATGGTAGGGATTCACACACAATCCAGGTTGAGAGCATTCTGGGTTTTTTTCAAGTCTCTCCCCGTCCGTGCTCTCCAACGGGATCGCTTTGAAAAGGATAACCATGACGAGGTCAAGTCTCCACACTTTGTCGGCTTGTCTCAAGCAGTCTATCCGTCGCATTTTCCCCTTTTGATCGGGATTCGAGAGGACGCACACCGCCGGCCTCTTCCCAGTTATGCTTAGGACGAAATCTTCTCTGCACTCTTGGGTTATGTCTTTTCGTAATTTACCTAACAATCTGGATGCCCACTTTTGTTTAACTTCAGCCTTTTCGTTCTAAAACAACCGAAAAGTTGTTGATGAAATTTTAACCATTTGAAATTTCCATAATTTCAAAATTGTCTTTGGAGGTTCCGTTATTACTCATATTAAGGCAGAAATTTCAAATTTGGCATGGTACAAACATGAATCCTCACAAATAATTAAATGATTCGTAATCCCTAAATATTTACAGAAAACTTTTAAGGAAATCTTTTTCAAATCATATTTCCGCTAGAGCTATTACTAAAAATAAAGTTCAAAACTATCATGTTCCTCCCCTACTTCTAAAAGTAAAATTCAAAAGCACGTATTCTTCTTTCTAATCGCTTTAGCCCAAAAACTCTATAATAAGTATTAATAATTTTGTAAATATTTAATTCATCCGTAATCCTCAAAAGTCTTCAGCCAGAAAACTGATTGGACACGCATCACCACGTCTTCCCATCTTGACCCGAAGTTGGCATTTCTCCATGAATTTTTAGTGGGATAAAGATAATTTTCATAAAAACTATAAGCTCTATGTTATTTTAATATTTTTTTCTTTAAATAGGCCTCTGTTAGAGAACGACCTTTTCCAGAAAATAAATTATCATACTAACAAGGACCTTTTTGGACCTCTACGTTTGGGATTTGATATAATTGAAAAACACTAAAGTCATGTCATATGACATACATATGTTATCATAGAGAATAAAAAAACTACCTAAAATTTAAAAATTTTTATTACTTTATTGGGCACGTAGTTTTCAACTCCTTTAGTCAACCTCGAAACATACTGAATGATACCGATGGTCTCTAACTATATCAATCGTTTTCTTACCTGAAGGGCATCCTTGCATTGTCGTTCCTCTTCTAAGGACATTCGTTTTTCATGTTTTTTATAGTATTTCCGTTTTGCAGCTTGTAGATTAAACCAAGTGTACGAGAATGACTTAACAAAAGGTAGTAAAGCCTCAATGAAAGGATGGAACTCGTCCTGCAGTTAAACCAGCGTTAGAACATTCGGAATTTATTAAATATTGACTTCGACACTCAACAATACAACAAAAAAGCACATGCAAAATATGCTTCGCTAACGCCCATAAAATTATCTCAAATATTTCATTAACTTAGACTTAGAAATTAATAATTTATTATTATAAGAATATTTTAATTCGATATAATGAATCTAAGATAATGTAGCCTCGAACCGAGTCGAATTCTGTGTGCTTTTCTAACGTTTGAGAATAGAATTTTATTTTTAGTTTTATTTGTTCGTTGAAAATGCGTAGTATCATTTAATTTTCTAAACTTAATATACCTATATAATATGAGCATTTCCGTAAACTACCTCGTAACTACGACATAATTAATTACGACTTTTTTTAGTACAGCATTTAGAAAAATCATATTTTGCTCCGTTAGATTTTCCAGTCGAAGTACCTACAGGTAATCAGTTTATAAAATAGAATGTACAGTTAGAAACGTCATACGTAATCCACTAATTTTAGTCAAGATGTGCTTCTATTAATGAAGTCAATCGGACAGAACATATTTTAGTTTTGAACAAGAACAAACCTATCACGAAAATACACATATATCTAACAACGGTCGTAATAATAAAGATCAAAAAAGCTTTTCAGTAAATAATAGTTTGGCATGGATCCATAATTAAAAAACGTTTTTAAAATTTTCATTGGTTATCTTATTCCATTCTGTCTATTATATGCGTATGTAGCGTCATTTTCAGTAGTTTCAAAATTACGATTTGTTTTGTAGTATTCGCCCAGATTGCGATGTTCTTGATGAACAAATACCGTATGGTAAAAGAATATCAAAACATCCTATCTTGTCTGCACCAAAATTACAAAAAAAAAATGTACATACATACCATCAAAAATGATAAAAATGAGAGTTGAATTCGCTGTATACAATAGTTATCAAAAGATGGAAGATACTTAATGCAATAGGTATAATATTTATGTTATGTCATCAGTTTCTTCAAAAACTCATATGAGATAGGTACTTGCTCGAAAATACTTACCTACATCGCATATACAGAACAAGTAAGTACAAAGTTGAATGCATCATATGCAGATATTTGGTATTCTTGATATGGCGTTTGCGAAGCATATTGCAAGTGCCATAACACAGAAAAATAAAAGACATAAAGAGACGGTAAAATATGTTAATCCGGTAAAAGTTAAGAAAGGGTAGGAGAAGGGGCTTAGCTGATGGGACGTGATGAAAGAATATGGACAATGAACGGGCTGCAATGCAAGTCTCCAGCAGCGTTGCCAATTTCGGTATTTCACCCCCAATTAAACATCTACTTAACAATGCAGACTACGCAAAGACTAAAAAAAATGATAACACCGAATCAGCATTCTCATTACGGAATTTCCATTTCTGTCTGAGTCATCGAAAACTTTAATGAAATAATTGGAAGTGGTCTGTATTCTGTCGAAACTGCCAGAAGCGGATCGCGATTTCGATCTTTTTGGATCTCATCAGCGCGTCACAGGCAGCTACGACAGAACACAGACCAACTTTTACCTGCTGTCTTAACTGCGGGTTTTAGAAAATACTACAAATGGCGCGGTAAACGCCATCTGTAGCACGATGCTACATTTTAGGATTACGTATGCTCCAAAAACGTTTTCAGCAAGTTGATATCCACACAAGTGGACCTCGTTGGAGCATACGTAATCCTAAAATGTAGCATCGTGCTAGAGATGGCGTTTAGTGCGCCTTTTGTAGTATTTTCGAAAACTTTAATGTTTCTTCATTCCAAAAAAGATCATGAACAGAAAATGTCTGATATTACTAAAGAGATTTTAAGGTCATAGACGTTTGCTGATTTTGGGAATCATATTTTGCTTAATTTTTTTTTTTTTGAGGATGAATCCCATTTATAAGTTGGCAACACCGTTTTCATTCGCGACTGAGGCCATTGCTATATCGGCCCCCTATCACGTATCTCTTTGCATGCACTACAGCAACTGCATCACATAAACAAACTGTCGACAATACACCGATTAAGTACGGCGCATTTCAATGGGGCTAACATCAAAAAAAAAAAAAAAATTATCCTCAGCACTGCATTGTAATACGGAACCCTGCTCTGTTCTACCAATTTTTTTTAAATACACCAGCTCGTGAAAATTTTTTCTTTAAATTTTCCACTCGACGTCAGAAGTTACAAAGGTGTCTCTAAAGTCACTCTTCGTTGTGAAGTTTGGATAATAAAATCACCCCTGATTAGTCGATTTGTATTCTTAGATACAATTTACATTGAAATTGAAAGGTAAATTATTTTCAAACAACTGAAGGAAGACCAAATTCAAATCTCATCCTGCAGTAGTTACATAAACTATATTACGTGTAAAAGAGTAATCGTAAGTAATTATTGGCCATTAAACTTGTTGCGATTATCGTATTAACACTGTTTTGTTGGTTTCGAAAATATTTTGCTTGGCAAAAACGTTCAAAATAAACTTTGCAGTATAAAGCAATAACGTATAGGTAACGGATACAACAGATAGTAGAGCTAAATTGAAGAACGATTTTGAAAATTCATTCGTTCCCCTGAAGATTAATAAACTATGTGAGTACTTTAATGTCTGGTTTATTGTTTTTAAATTTTCACTAGAAATCATATAATTATTTTGTAATTAAAATTTGGCGAAGGCGCCAGACACAGGATACGTTTGACATTCAAACTTGTGTACTTATAATTATCCTTTTTTACTAGTTAATACCAAACATTGGCCGATTCCTTGGTGAAACAGGATTGAATTTAAATTCTTATGAAATGTTTGGTACTGAGATTCTATTTTATGTTCTAATTTTAACTCTCTAGGTAAAAACATAAATAGTCGCTTGATTTATATAATATATGAAAATATACCTTTCAACATCAAGGCAAAATGTTTCGAGTCGCTTTTATTTTAAAATTGTGACAATTTTCATCTGTTACACATTGATTTGAAAATGTAAAAAAAAAAAATTCCGTTTGTCATGATAGCAAAACTTTGTTGATTGGAAAAGCCGAACTCATTTTCCAAAGGATTTCGTTTGATCGATACTAACACAACGAAGTTGGGAAAAAGTATATACATATATATATGAATTATATTATAATGCTTTTCTTGCGTGGGGGTTGTTTACAACATGTTTACGAAGAAAGTGGTCGATTTTTCCCTTTTCTAAAAATTTTATTCTGGATTCGAAAGGATAATAACTAATGATTCCTAAGGATTTGAAAGAAGATTGATACTTATGTATAAAAGATGAAGAAATGTAAATATATATATGTATTTAGGATGTTTCGTGTAAAATTTAAAAGAAATAAGAATGTGGTAATAGTGGTTGAAGGTGTAATAGGTACAATAGTTATCCTGAGCGTGTGTAGTGCGTGTGTCGAGCGGCATAGCTGTTGGATATTTGCTTTAAAATTCCGATTTATTTATATCCAGATATTTTTAGCCGCTAGCAAGGAAAATACACGAAGAGCCGAGCAGCAATAGCAAACAGCAACATCACAACAAAACAGGTACGGCTGTGCAATAATAATAATAATAATAATAATACTTATAGAATAGTACCTACTGATGATAATAGAAAAACAAATAGAAATAGATAGAATAACGAGAACACCATAAAAAACATTTCATAAGATACTTAACAAGAAAGTAAAAACCAAGTAAAAACGAAAATTGAAAAAAGTTAATTAAGAACATCGAGGGCCGGGAAAAGCAAGGGTTGGACGCTGCCTGAGGGGCATCCGTCACCCCCGCACGGCCAAGACAGAACACTGAGGAGGTTAATCATGTTAATTACATATCACGCCGCGGGGGGAGTGGGTAGGGTAGCAGCGGGTAGGCACCTGTCCCGAGGACGGCATCTGCAGGTACGAGGACACATCGGGCTCCACCATGCAGCTGCGCAACGAGTCCGGGATAAACATTCCTCAGGGTCACCGGCCTAAGACCACCAACAAGAAGAAGAAGAAGAAGAGGACGCCGCCGAAACGCGCGTCTCTTCCCATCACCAACGGCGCCCTTCGGCGCTCCCGTAACTCCTCCTCCGCGTCCTGCTCCTCTTCAACACCACAACACCAAACAAGAGCGACAACAACGTGTCCTTCATCGATCTATTCCTCGCACTAATGCGCACTGCAGTCACTACGTCGTCGATACCACCCGATACCTTTTTATTTCCTTTTCCTTTTTCCCTATCCAATCTATTTCTATCTCTCCTAAATCTTTCCGAATTTCCCCTCTTCTTCGTCTTTTTGCTGTATTAATAGTCAAATCACTTAACAGAGAGATATTCGATGACACGATAAATCGACGCCTATGTCGGGAAACGGCACGCAAGTTATTATATATTACGGAACGAGGGGGGCTCTTGACGCTCACCACGACATACGAGGACCACGACGACGCCGAAAACCCTCGTCCATCACATGCCTACTACTACACACGGCGAAAACGGCGGACGGCGGCGAAAACGACGCCGACCGACGACGACCACGACAGCGACGTCTAATAGTTGAATCAGATGCGCGCGTCCCAACCGACCGACCAACGACTATAAATAAAAACGACAGCTCCGACGCTGTGTTTATATATAGAGTGACGCCGCGTCGTACATCGCACACGCATACGCCAATTTTACAATGCACGCACACACTCACTCAATATACAAATTTACTGCTGGCTGGGCTCTCCAACTTTCAAGTCAGTCTCATCATCACAGGTTTAGCAATGGGATAGCGTAGGTTTTATTAACCGTTTGCTGGTTCACCTCCTGCTGTTTGTGCGGCTTTACTATTTCGTGATGGAAATGGAAATGGAAATGGTACAATGGCAGATAGCGAGAACCAATTCAAATGCGATTTTATTATCGATGATAAAGAGAAGTTGCCCATGGCGCGCTCTCGCTAGACTCGGAGACTGTAACACCGCGCTACACGAGCCGGCGACAGAGACGCGACGCGTCGGACAGAACGACGCCGACGCTCGCTACCAGACGCCGGCATAGCGACGGCTCGCAATCGCGCCGCCACCTAATAACGATCGTTGGAAACTAAACTCTGAACCTTCTTTCCGTTATTATCACATACACGCATCACCGCATCAACACATCCATTGCAATTTTTATTTCGTCGAAAAATTTTTCAAAACGCTACAAAACCCACCAAAAACTTTTAACGAATCTTAATGATTCGTGAATCCTGTTCGTTCGATTCAGTTGGTTCTATTTTCTTGTTCTTAAGAAAAAGGTATAAGCCTTATTAGATTTACATACTCACATAATGCGTAAAGTTAAAAACCTAATTGTAATTCTGATTTTTCTTCATACGTTAAGACAATTTACGTAAAATACGATATGATTCGACCAACCGAAACAGGTTGGTAGGATACCTTCTCGAACATGAAGGGTTAGTTAGATACATATTAGAAGCAGAAACAGAAATTAAGAGGAGTGAGGTGGACCTAGATTAGATTACTGTTCATAAATAGTTAAAGATGTGGGATGTTCTTGTTTTTGTGAAATGCGAAAATTAACTCAGGATTGGAAAAAAGTGGAGGTGCGTGTCCAACCAGTCTTAGTACTGACGACCTTTTTTAGGGAAATGAATAATTACAATTCTGATTTTCTTGATTCATTAGGACAATGATATGATTCGACCAAAGTACTATGAAAATTCGGAATAAGCCAAGCGTTTCAACTGATTTAGTGTTACTTACTTAGTCATACAAGAAATCGGAAAATTCATAGTTATAATTCTGATTTTCTTGATACATTAAAGCAATTTCTCAAAAATATGATACGATTCGACCAAAATGCTATGAAATTCGGTCTGCGAATCTTAAGATTTCCCAATTACTGAAACAATTGTTGGGAATGTAAATTATTTAAAAATTTCATAAAACTGAATTTCAACCAAGTAAAAGTCATTTACAAAGCGAATTGTTTCGTCGTAAATTATGTATGACCGCGACTAGTTTAAAGAAAGGTGGTGGAAATTGTGATTTTCTTGGCGTATAAAATAAGTAAAAAGTGTAGTTGTGAGTTAGAAATCTGGCCGGTCATTTGAGGAAGTCGAGAAATGTCGCAACAAAATCCGTTACGATCAGCCTTTAATTCCTATTTCCACGGGATGCCACTTTTAGAATCAATCTGCCTGCACGACACCTGGTCAACTGTATAAATAAACTGGGATATGCATGTGTCTATTCAAGGAACAGTTTCTCAAAGACGTTACGTTATTATTCGTACGACAATATACATATATCAAAAGGCATAATTGGAGTATACTTACGTAGAAAAACCGACTTCAATAGGTATACTTCGTCTATATGTACAAACTTAAACTAAAAAAAGTTAAAAACGGGAGTCATCCCCTAATTTTCCGCCCTTAGGGGCAGAATGTTCTCTCCAAATTAATTATTTCAAAATCTTACTCTGGTTCTGCAAATATATTAGTGGCCTTGCATTAGGATAAATATAGATAATTATCGCTAACCATGGGTTTATATTTATCTGATTTTAAAGAAAGAAAAATAAATTGGAAAAAGAAAACTGATTTATCCTTATTAATATATAGTAAATAGGTAGTAAATAAAATAGAAATAAAATTCACAAAGAATCATTGAATTTATTATCATAATCACTATCGTCATCAGCAATAAATAATTTAAAGTATAATTATTAGAAATTGTGCTATACAAAGTAGTATACTTTCTAGTAGTTACAAGAATGTTGACCAGTATACAACGTTCAAAATAAAGAATGAAAATGGGAAGAAGAACCTAGAAAATTGGTCTATACATATAGCTGTACTTCTTCCATGGCAAAAAGTGTCATATTGGGGCTGACTTCCGAAACGTGGTCTATCTATATCTTGCTGCTTAAAAAATAAATGTACAAGCAACTTAGCTAATAATAGTTGAAAACAAATAGACAAAACAACCTCCACACTAATATATAATGAAGAGTTCACCAACAACTGTTAAGTGCATGTTTAAATGAAGTGTGGAAACTGTTTTGTACATATTTTTCATTTGGAATTTCCATCACGCCAATACAAGCCATTCGCACACTGGAAGCGGTCACAAGGAGTCGTTGTAAAACACTTCGCCACTTTTAATCAATCGTTCAAGTCAAATCCCATCTTTGGTCAATAAAAATTCAGACTATTATTATTAATCTCAGTACTGGTGTGAAATTTTCGAATTATAGCAGCGGTAGATATTCAATTCAGTTCATTGAATATTGACACACTCATTTGAAAACACTTGAATAATTTCTTTTCGTGCAATTTCAGGTCGTCAAAAATGGTGTAAAAAGGTCTATTTAATAATATTGAATACATCTAGGCGTTTTGATGCATTAAGACAATTGGAAAAAGCGCGTGACGACGAATTTTAGCAGATATTAACCCGTGTCTTTGATTCTAGTGGCTTATCGCTTTTAAGTCCTTTACAGCAGGCATTATCTGAAGAAGCCTCGATGTTCGGGCTTGATGTTTGTGGTCAAAGATTTGTTCTGCTTAGTTTTTCGACGTTTTAGAAACTGCTGCTATTGGTAGGCTCCAAAGATCCTAGCAAGGGTGTAAAATACCAACCACAGCAGCTGACGAAACGTCACATAAACAACTTCATCGGATGAAAACGAATCCTTAACCCCGACCATCAAAGGCCTCTTACATTAATTAAATAATTTAGTTATTTACCTTAAAGTCGTTAATGTCAGAGTTAATATCTTCATCGGAATAGCCTTTCATTGCTTTGGTAGCTACGGGGCCCATGTAGTTATTAACTACTGCAAACTCCATAAGAGACAAAAAGACAAAAACTGAACAACTCGACATCCAGACATCAATCGCTTTAACATAGGACACCGGTGGCAGTGACTGTTGAGACTGGGTGTTTTGTGTAGCTTAAATAACAATAAATTGCTTTATCTGTACTGAAGCCGCTACAAGATATTTTGCAACATTTCTATATCGTTTTAACATACCCAACGTTAAAAGCGAAGTTACTCCGAGAGTAACTCTCGCCGGGATGGCTTCCGGTTTGATCCAGAACGATATCCAGGACATGACAACGATAAGAGCTGATGGGATGTAAGTGTGGAATAAATGATAGCCCAAACGACGTCTCAGGGTAAATACGACCGCCAAGCAAGTAAAATTACCTTTAATTCAAATCATAACGGAAAAATTCATAATTTTACAACTGCTCTTTTAAGTAAAATACATAGTACAATTTTATGTTTTAAATTACGATCAACAGTTTTTGTTAAGTTAAACTTTTGTTTCGTTGGCGCGCTCGCAGCGAGCTATCACTGTCAGCTCTAATCCAAAACATTATTTAAATAAATACATAATTATTATTCTATACATATACCAACTAAATAAATATGTAAATAGAAAAAGACTTCTAACTTGTGTATATAAGTGATAACACCCTCTCTTTTTACTATTCTTTTCTTCTATTTTCAGTTGTTTTTAAGTCTTTGATTACTAGTAATTTAATAATTACCAAACGTAATTGTAAAATGGAAGTTCTATTGACAAAACAGCACTGTATGAACATAAATAAAAGTAAAACAAAAATACTGGTAGAAAAGTGGAAAAAGAGCAAATATAAAAATAAGAGACGAAAAATTAGAAGAAGTGCCTGATTTTCGGTATCTAGGAAGTCATTTAAGTCAGGACGGAAGAAGTAGTAGGGATATAAAGCAGAGGATAGCGCAGGGTCGAGTCGTTTTCAATGCTCGCAAAAGGTTAATTTAGAAATTCGAGAAGGATTGTTAAATGTGTATGTTTGGAACGCGGCGCTGTACGGATGCGAAACATAGACGATGGGCGCGGCGGAAAAGAAAAGGTTAGAAGCGTTTGATAAGGATATCGTGGATGGAGAAGGTTAGAAATGAAGAGGTATTAGAAAGAATAAGTAAGCAGAAGTCTTCATGGAAGTAGGACACCTTCTCAGGGATAAAGGGCTAGTCAGAGACATATTACAGGTAGAAACAGGAGTTAAGAGGAGTAGAGCTAGACGTAGATTAGATTACTGTTCACAAATAGTTAAGGATGTGGGACGTTCTAGGTTTAGGGAAATGCGAAGATTAGCTCAGGATAGGAAAGAGTGGAAGTGCGTGTCCAACCAGTCTTAGGACGGACGAATCGCGATTTCTGTCTTATTTGAAATTTCAAAAATATATTATTTAAATTTTGTCACTCCTAAAAAATTAGAGCTTTTGAAGCACCCTGTATTTTGTTATTAAAAATATGCTTCTGTTAACTTTTTTGTGTTTATTTGAGGATATCCTTCAAATTTTTCTTTTTAATTCTGTTTTACATAAAAACGTTGCAATAAAAGGCCAAATTGGTGATAATAACGCAATTTGTTTATATTAGTCACATAAAAGTTATTTCATTCTGTTTTATAAGTAAAAATTGGAAGACTAAGAAGTATTCCAATTTCCCCACAGCAAGTGGTACCGTTTGTACCCTTTTTAGTACAGAGTTCAAAGTATAATCATTTCTAGATAAAAATCAAATGGAAATTATTAATTAACGTTTTTATAATCCATTTTGCCATATTGTACGTACTTGGGAAGTGGCTAAAGTGTTGTAAAGTAATCGTATTAGTTGTAGGTGTAAGACTTGTAAATCGATGTCACTGATATATTATCTACCTATATTGAAGTAACTTGACCGCACTTTATATATGCATATACAAATGTAAATATAGACATACACATATATACGTGTGTGTGTGTGTGTATGTATGTATGTATAAAAGCTAACTACATTAAGAAACAGTTTACTAAAGCCCCATATTACCTGTCGAATATTCTATGGTGCAATCGGTGGTGTAATTATTGGAAATATCTAACTGTGGTAATTCTATTTCCGGATTTACCACCAAGGGATCGGTCATGTTCCAAATAAAAACAAGATCGTTATCGGTGTGCGATACTAGGGAAACAAAAGAAATTTGCCGTAAACAATTTTCTAGATAGAATACGATACCTTACAGCTCTCAATCATCATTGAACACACTTGAGTATCGTGAGGATAAGATTCGAATTTCATAGCACAGGATAATACTAAAGTTAATCTAAAAATATTAAAAACAAAAATAGAGACACTGTAGTAACAAACAAACTGTGCGGTGTCGTGCGACACCCTGTAGGAGCGAAGTTTCTTACACAATTCAAGTTTTAATTGTAAATTTATCTAACATATTCAATTAGTAAGTCCTGCCTGTTCATGATATTTCCGAGGTAATTTTAGGATGAAAGAAATTCGAAGTGGTCTGTATTCTGTCGAAACTGCCAGACGCGGATCGCGATTTCGATCTTGTTGGATCTCATCAGCGCATCGCGGACAGTTTCGACATCACACTCCTATCGCGCAATTTTTGGGATTTTGTAATTTTAGGATATATTCTCTCTCCGCTTTCTCCCTTCCCTTCTGTAAGCAGTACGTAAGAGGGAAAGAGATGTCCACTAACACATTCGCTTTTTGCCAGACTTAGGGAAATTGAAATTTAGAATCGACTTAGGGAAAAGGAAATTTTTATGAATTCTTTTTGTTCTTTCGTTAAATACTTGTAAGGTTTTCCTTTTTTTGCGTCAAATAAATTTTTTTAAACATCACTTTTTCTCTATCTCTGGGGAAATATAAGGAAATTTCGGTAAAAAAAGTTAAGGAATAAAAAGAAATTGATAAGAAACTTCGTTGTAAAAGCAAAGTTTCTCGTCTAATCGTCAGTATTTGAAATCTAATTTACCGTTTCTTACTTGGACATGTATAAAAGCGTTTTGTCGTGGTAAAGCCAAAGGTAATGGTTGGGAATGCTCATTTCATGAAACGTCACACTTTTGGCATTCTTAAAGAAACAATCTGGACGCCATATATTGTGCAGCCATTCTACGTCTAATATTCTGTATTCTTCGCTCATATTTTCTGGAAGTCTAAGTCGAGGATCTCTCCAACTTTGTGCAAGAAATATGTCAGTGACATAAGTCTGGAAAATTAAGGCCATCACTTCGCGAAACATAATGAGAAAAACCTCCATTATTCTCTCATTAATTTTACTTTTAATATCTCTTTTATTCGTCTTTTTATTTCACTCTATTTTAAATCTGAACATCTAACTAAAGTATGTATAATAGTTTACCACTTGCCATTGATTCTTCGTTGATAGAATCTAATGATAGAACTGTTACATGAAAATAGACAATTGTGGGTTGTCCCTGTAGTTTAGGGGCTCGGTTTTTATCATATTGTTTTGGCTTTATCGGGAGAATATCTCTCAGTGATAGACTGGTCTCCTCAAAGACGTATTCGCGATCTCTGTCTCTATCTCTATCTCTATTGTTTTGTTTATCTTTAGATTTCTCTCGATAACTGTAGCTTGAATTATAATTATGGGTTCTGCAAAGAAAAATCATTTTCATTCGTTATGTAAACGTAAACCACAACATACAACTATAAAAAGGAATAATGTACAAATTGCGACCACTTGAAGAATATGTGTCTAAAAAAAAACAACTTGTTGTACTAATAAGGAATATAACAATAATTAAGTCTTTAAATTCGATTTCTCCGATATTTTACCATCAGGTGCGCTAATAACATTAAAAATGGCAGCCTTAATAAATTGAAACCTTATCATTTATAAAATAATTTTCGAGAGAAAAAAAAAAAAGAAAATCTTTAAGAATTTGAAAAACGACTGCACGTATAAAGTAATTTTGACCCCTAAAAATTAAGTAATTAAAACAAAAATAAATGTTGCAAATGTTAATTTATCTTATCCCAAAAAAAAAAGGAAAAATTAATTATCGCAAACTACCTAAAATTAAAGACGAATATACTTACAATGTATGAGCGCTCATGACATTTGATATTGAAAGGAAAATAAATAAAAAGCAAACTTTCATCGTGATATGATTTTTTAAGGGTTGACATAGAAATAGCCCTCTGTCGTCCCTCGGTCATACTAACTATAACTTCCTCTACATTAACATGTAATTAAATTACAATATAATAGGCTTACTGTGTCATACAATACAATCACTGAGTAACCAGCCTTGAGAACGCATGTTCTATATAATCTGTTTAATAACTATACCTCCCTAACTGAGAACTTATTGAATTTATGTAAATTTATACGAACCCGGAAAAAACACACTCCAAACATCCAAAAAAGATAGATTTAATATTGTCAAATAAATACATTTTCCTTAGTTGTTGGAATATAAAACAGGAATGGAATACACGTTGTAGATTTTCTTTCTCGCTTAAATTACTAATTGTACAAAGTTTGTTTATATCCCAAACATATACGACATATTATTGTATCTTATTCTTACAACTTTATTTCCGTGCATGCTAATTATTGGTAGGAGGGGTAGTTTATACTTTAAATATTCTTCACATTCATATCCCTGCACATCTTCTATGATTTTATATGAAGATGATGCTACCCTACTTTTGTCTCTACGAAATGATGAAGCCACAGCAGCATAGTTGTCCGAAAAGTCCCGGAGAACTAAATGGGATTCCCAGATATGTATAACTTTTTGACCACCTTTAACTCGCTCCCGTCAAATCTAAACGGTTTATGTTTGGCCACTTTACCACCCCTTCTAATTGTCATGATTTTGGATTTGGACATCCAAAAAATAATCAACATTCATTTATGTAATTAAATATGATTTTCATATGGAAAACTAAACAGTTCAATGAGCCACGAGAAAATATTAATATCATACTATGCCTGTTTGAGAAAGAAAAACAAATTACCCTATTTTTTTGTTTTTTATTTTATCTATTTCTTAAACTACAAAACTACATATACTCTCATAAATTTATGAAAAATAATAGAACTCGTAATATTCACAATTTTTTATTTTTACCACGACAATTGTTTTGGTAACCTTTTCAAGTGGAGTGTTACAGTAAATATTTTGCAGAACTGTAGCTTAAATATACCTTAACTAAAAATGGGGGTTACATTAAAATAAATTTAACAGAGGTGATGTGTTTAACTATTTGATCATTTAACAATAGTCCTGCGTTCCAAAGTATTAAGTTTTTAGAATCTCAGGATAAAAAATAAAATTAAAATTGTTGTTAAATGATCAAATATAGTTAAATACATCAGCTTTGTTAAAGTTAGTCTAATGTAACCCCCACTTTAAGTTAAGGTATATCTATATAAGCTACAATTCTGTAAAACATTTACTGTAACACTCCACTTGAAAAAGTTACTATGTTAGCGAAACAATTATCTTGGTAAAAATAAAAAATTGTGAAAATTACGAGTTCTATTGTTTTTTATAAAATTACGAATTTTCACCAAATAAATGCCGATTCCATCAAGTATTACTCCCAAAAAAGTTATACATTTTCAATACACTGTTTTTACATCTTAGCATCCGTATTCTTCCAATCGCACTTCTCTGGTTGTTTTGGAATTCATTATATTTTTTTTATTATATATTAGGACAAAATCACTTTTCTTTCTACTGTTGCTTAGTGTATCTACCTGTCTCTGTTCGTTGTAACATCCCTATATAGCTACGATCATCATACCCCTTGGCAGTGGCGTTCTATATGGAATACATATATCTCGATATAATGTACTGATTTTTTTCTAATTCACGTTTTATCTGCTGATTTAACGCATTCCAAAAATGCCGAATCCATACAGCGTATAGAATTCATAAAATTATCATTAAACCGTTTACACATAGGTATATTTATTTATAAATATGTAACTGTAACCGCCCTCGAATTTTTTTATTTTTGATCAAGTGAATTTAAAAATATTCTTTTAGTCCGTATGAATAATTTAATTGACGCTATTCTCTTTGCGCTTTTAATTAGAGAAGGTTGATTGTAAAGAAAAAAAACAAATTAAACTTAAGTTTTGTGTTTTAATAAGTACAAAATATGATATACACGAGAACATATGAAGCAGAATGGTTTAAATAAACTATAAAATCAACCTAAAATCAGAATTCAGTTTAACTTGTAAAAATATCTTAATTCTATAAAATTCCATCTCAGATGTTACTTCTCATTACATTTCTTAAACCTGCGTTTATTATTTACACTAAATAAATTTACAAAATTAGGCTAGTACACCAGACTGAGGTAACAACGAAAAAGAAAACTACAAAATACATCTAAGCTATCTATTTACTAATACACATGTATGAGAAGGTAAACGCGTGTATGTGTAATTAAAAACATGAGTTTACCTTCCAGGGAAGAACCTTTTAGATTAAGGTATTATATTATAGCTGACATTACAACAAACTGTACTGTGTCACTACTTGGAATTGTTCACTTTTTAAGTAGCCCCCTTAAGTACATTATTTTCAAAGGTACTCGTGAATCACATTGCTAATACATACAACTCTATTGTTAACTTAGGCAGAGCTACACTGAATGCGCAAGAAATTTATCACCCTCATCAAAACCGCAAATATTTGTCCGTTGAAATTTGTGCAATGTCCAAAAAATTACGTTTATCAAAAAAGTACCAGCATATCTATACAATTTCTTAAAATTTCTTGTGCATGTTTGGTTTATATTAAATAGGGGACAGATCTTCCATTAGATATTTTATTCGAGTATTTGTTAGTACACACCAGAAGGTAGACAAAGCTCTCATCAAAAAAGCTCCAAGCCCTAAACCCTTGCTTAAAGTGCTTTGCTCCTTGAAGCCCCAATTATAATTTAAAATCCAAGGACTTCGAGTTATCAACTACTTCAAAAACCATTTAGAGTTCAAAACTTAAGCACTTTGAAAGAGATTAAAGCTTACAAAACAATTTTATGAAGTAATCCATTTCTTCATAAAACGGCTTGAATTACGTGCTTCTAAGTCGTGAATGCACAGGAAGCACATTTTTCAAGCACAATAGTACTAAAGCTCTGTCCAGCTATGGTATACACAAATTATTTATATTTACTTCAAGGTGTATAATTTAAAAAAGAACAGTACTATTAAAATAAATTCGAATTTATAATATTGTAATCAACTTCAATTTGAAGGGATACCTCTTAAACCTAACACTAAAGTTTCGAAAATATACAAAATCAAAATACATACTTCTTGAGGTTTACGGTATTTACATTAAGGTTACTTCTTATGTTACCACAGGGAAAATAAATCTGTTTAATAACATTAAAAGACAACTTTTTACTATTACCAACGAACAGAAGCTAGAAACAATCGCCTCTTTTTAAAAGTTATTTGCCCACATAGGGGAACTACAGGATTCATATTTTAATTATATTCTTTGTACAATGACTTAAAAAGTACCTACTTTACTATACAATATGTATTAATCATCAATTATAACCACAAATATGCCCCCTATAGTTCTTTAAATTGTCCTCTGATTGAGGATTCTGAATTCTAATCAAATTGTCAAGAAAATCAAAGTAAAATGTGTAAGCTGCCTTTCAAGGGATTGTTATCATTATTGTTATTTTTATAATGACATTTTCGCAATTTATTCTTTTGACTAGCAATTTCTAAATCTTATACTGAATATTATGGTTTTACAGTTGCATAAATAGGTATTTAAAAGACTTAGGTAGTTTAAATATTAAGTAAACAGTAGCAAAGATAAGCATACAGTAGGGTGCTATTGATGCACCAATAACCCTAATCATTAAGTTATCCTTCTACAATTTAATTGTTTGTATAAGCACTTCAATAATAATCCAGTTTCTAAGTTCACTAGGCAAATCATTATAATCAGTCCCAAAAATGAACACTTCAACAAATTTCTATTCCGCTAAACATCCAGCAGGAAACCTATTTTCTTCTAGCTTTTTTTTTAATTTTTAATCAGTTACATTCTATTTTCAGATTTTGTTTTAATAATCACATCAATTTCTCACTACTTCATATATATATGGAGTTTACTCTAATTTAAACAGCAACTCACACTTTTTTACTTTATATTAATGTTTAACTCACTAGATATGGCAGGAAACCAAACGGTCCCATCCAGTTGATTATTTATTAAAAATATTACGTTTTAATTTCCATTTAAATACCGTATTTGTAAGCGTATAGTATCGTAGTTACTGTTTTGCTGCATTATTTTAGAATTAGGAATGGATATATTACTATTAATATTCTAACCGTACGTTTTCTTTAACTGCCTTTAACACTATTAACGTACAACGTTCGTTTTTTATAAACGATCCAACCTCAAAAGACATTATATAAAAAAATAAAACAATACTGAAAATACAAAAAAATAAATAGCTACAAACATGTACTAAGTGATGTACCTATTATACACCTAAGTCTTTTACGCAAGTATTTACACTTCCTAAGCCCAATAAATGCTTTAACTTTTCCTTCCATTAAAGCTGTAACAATCATTTAGAACTACCACGAGATCTTAAAAATTAAACAATACGATAAATAAACAGCGCACCTCTTCATTAACACTCAATACATTCCATGCGCCAAGTTAATTTCTATTACGTCACACAAGGGCTGAACAATTAGTATTTATATGGTTTCTCTAAAAGCATTTCACCTTATTTTGCAACCATCACACCGAATATATAAATAATAGTACTAACCATTGGTAGATGTTTCAACTTTCACATAAAAATATTACAAGAGTGGGTTAATGTTCGTGTATTAAAACTGAGTTAATAGAAGTGACAAAAATATATCACAGCAAAAAAACCGGACGATACTGTATATAGCAACATAAACTAGACATTTTTTTTAATGTTAGGACCAAAGAATTTCAAGACAAACAACTGGTTTCATTAAACTGAAATGTATTATACGCGACTTAATTGAAAATTATGAAAATTAACAGTCAAATAATCATGTTGTTATATGTACATATGTGTATTGCTTTTTTACCAATAAGATTTACATCTTTGGCCCTAACACTATATTATGGAAAGCAGGGGTGTTTTCTAGCCTTAAAAAAGATGCTAGTTTTGTGATGTCACAGCCTTAAAAGTTAGAAAAGCAGTGGAGATTACGCAGTAATGCTTAATTACAGACCAAGGTTGACTATTAGTAAAATAGTAAAATATAATTTAGTCATCAGTATCACATAATAAAATCTATAGTCATCTGCTAGACTGCAGAACTTCTACAGCCAACAATATCAACGGGTTAAAATAATACACTAAATGTCTCTAAGTATTATTGCTAGTTGCCATAGTTACGAACATTTGCTGAAAATCTGCCAATTCTTGACCTAATATTTCTATTCCTGACGAGTTAGTACGAGATCCATCCGAAGAAGTTGATGGTTTTCCTGATGTTTCTTTTCCCTGTACATTAAGTTTTTTTTTATCTGTCTCGGCGCTTTCTGGTCTGCGTATAGTGGCTTGCTTTGTGGGTATCACAGGTTTATTTGGGGGTATAGGGGGTGGAACGCCCCTCCCCACTAATAAACTCTTTTTAGGAGGCGTTTGAGGAACTGTTGTTTGCTGCTGATATGGAGCATGAAAAACAGGCTTAGTTGATGGTCTATTCGGCTGACTCACTTGAGGTGAAGTTCCCAAACCCCCCATAACTTGAACCTATAACAAAATTAATGAAATACTTATTAACTGAGCAAAACACAAATTATACGTACTTTAGATGGTGTAACAGTAGAAGCACCACCAGAGGACTGTCTAATTGTTTGTCCTGAAGTTACTGATTGAGCAACCCCCGTAGCTATTAAATAAAACAAACGAATTAATAAATTCATATTTCAAAACTTTATACAAAATAAGTCCCATTTAGTAACTTACTGGGGCCTGAAACTGGTACACTCGATACAGTGGCAGTGGGCTGAACTACTTTAGCTACACTACTTGTCATAGGAGGAGCAGGTTCTCCTGTTTCTCGAAGTCTGTTTCTCAAAGCTTCATATTCTGCTTGCCATTTTTGCAATTCCACCTCCAATTCTTGGCATCTTTAATCAAATCAATAAGATACTAATTTTTCTGGTTAAGCTCAATTAAACTTACTTTGCTTCTTTAGCTGCTAAAGCTGCCTTTAGTGCTTTCTTATCAGTCTCAAAAATGTGAACTTGCTTTTCAAGCTCTGCTTCCATCTGCAATGACTTTTTGCTCTCTTCTTCTAATCCTTCAGCCATTGTATCTATCCTAGACTTTTCTTCTGAAAGTATCTAGATAAAAAAGAAAATTATTATAAAATAAGATATTATTTTCCTCAATAAAGGTGTTACCTGTGCTAAATCTTCACTTCTCTTACGTTCTTCAATATACTTAACAATTATTTTCTTTCTTTCTGCCAGCAGAAGAAGTACAATTTGTTTTTGTCTAGACCTCTCTTCGTCTGCCAATTCCACTTGCCTTTTTAGTTCTTTTTCTAATTTTTTTCTTTGTTGTCTCTCCATTTCTAACTCTTGCCTCAACCTTGTTCTTTCCATTTCTAAACCATACGTAATATCATCTCCTTGAGCAGTATCATGCTCGTGCTTTGACTTTTCTTCTTCTAATTCTTGAATAACTTTCCTATGTTTAGCTTCTGCCTCTCTCAAAATATTTACCATGTGTTGGTGAGCCCTTTTTTGTTGAAGAGCTAAATGTTCTAACGCTTGCAGTTGCTGTTCAGCAGCAGCTGCTATATCACTATCACTGTATGGTGTTTTTGTTGAGGGCCCATCAGCAATAGTATCTCTCAGAAGTGCAGAATATGGATCTGACATAACAACAGGTCTATACCTTCCTATATTAACTACTTGTTTTAATCTTTCAGACTGCAATTAAAAAATGTATAATTAAAAAATATAATCAGTATTCATAGTAAACCATAATTTTAATAAAACAATTTTTCTTGTTTCAGGTGAGTCTACTTATTATATCTAGAACGTCTTCTCCTGATTTGCAAGTGAGTCTGATATTTTTCTTGTGGTTAGCAATTATAATCACTTCATCACATTCCATCAAAATTGGTAAAAATAACATGTGATTAACAAACATACCTTTAAAGCTGCAATAGCAATATCCCTTGCCTGTATTTCCCCTTCAAAGTACGTTAAAAGCTTCAACAGGTCTGTTTTGGTTAGTTCCATTTTAGGGTTTCTCTGTTCAAATAATATTTATGTATGAGAAAAAGTTTGGACAAATTTCAACAAATTTAAACCTTTAGTGTGTTGCTGCTGGCACTAGAACGATCTAATTGCTCATACTGATTCACATCTGCACTAGAAGTTGGTTGTTGTTCGGGTACGGAACTTAAAGGGGGGCCGAACCCAAGACCGCTAAGCCATCCGTTTTGATTGTTACTAGAAGCCATTTTCTGTGACATATATTTTATATGCACACAAATTAATTACAATCACTTTAGAACATAGTAACCGCTTTATCTAAAAATGAAAAAAAATTTTAAAACCCATTTTGACATCTAAATAACTCAGTTGCTAAATATGCAACGATAGCAGTGATAGGTTACGGTTTCGTTCTTCAATCAATGAATCCTAGAAACATTTGAGTTTGTTATGTTGCAATATTTCTTTTTTAAGTAGAGATGTGCATTGTGTCAATTTTTTACAATCCTCACGTTCATAAAACTTTTCAAAATTTGTTTAATTTTAAATGTTAAATTCTGAAAAAACATAGTTATTTTCCTTTCAGTAGTTCTGATTATTTTTTTTCATAAAAGCAAGTTATATTTTTGCTTGACCACAAACATCTAAACTTTTTTTTCTATGATTCCGGAACTGTAGATATATTATTCTATGCTGAATTGATTTGTTAGGGTTTTTGAATCTCAATTTTGGTTGCATATAATGTTTATTTCAAGGTTGTCACTGAACTAAAAACAAGTGACAGCTAGTGCTGGAAGTGGAAACAAAATTATCAATACATCACAACGGTTGATAAAATTAGTGTCTGTGTATGTAAATATTTATAGTGTTTTGTGAAGAATGGCTACAAATGAACAAAAAGCCCAACAGCTAATTGCAGAAGCCGAGAAAAAGTTATCCTCTTCCAAAGGATTTTTTGGTTCACTTTTTGGGTAAGCAAAAATCAATCAATTTATGATCAATTATGTTGTATTCTTATGGTCATCTATTATTAGTGGTTCTGCTAAAGTCGAAGATGCTGTGGATTGCTATCACAGGGCTGCTAATCTATTTAAAATGGCTAAGAACTGGACTCAAGCAGGTAGTGCATTTTGCGAAGCAGGAAATTTACATTTGAAAACTGGCTCTCGACATGATGCCGCAACTAATTTTGTTGATGCTGCTAACTGTTATAAAAAGTCTGATATTAATGGTGAGTGTTATATATTGAGTACAACTGTAAAGAATTTAAAGAGTTTGAAACTGTTATAGCTAAAAAAATATATTATTCTGTTAACATCTCAAAGAAACTTTCCCTGTATATAGCTTCATAATGTTTGTTTTTAATGGTGTGTCTTTTTTGTTAGAGGCAGTCAACTGTCTTGTAAGAGCAATAGAAATATACACTGACATGGGGCGCTTTACTATGGCTGCAAAACATCACCAAAGCATTGCAGAGATGTATGAAACTGATGCAGCCGATCTCAAGAAAGCAGTTCAACATTATGAACAAGCTGCAGATTACTACAGGGGTGAAGAAAGCAATTCATCTGCCAACAAGTGTCTTTTAAAAGTTGCCCAATATGCAGCACAGCTAGAAGATTATACAAAAGCTATTCAGATCTACGAGCAAGTAGCTTCATCTTCATTAGAGAACTCTTTGCTGAAGTACAGTGCAAAGGAGTATTTGTTTCGTGCTGCTCTTTGTCACCTGTGTGTAGATTTGCTGAATGCTCGTCATGCTCTAGAACGCTACACTCAAATTTACCCGGCGTTCCAGGATTCACGCGAATATAAATTGCTACAGAACATCTTTGATCAAATAGAAGAACAAAATCTAGATGGATATACAGATGTTGTCAAAGAATACGATTCCATATCTCGTCTTGATCAGTGGTACACTACTATGTTACTACGAATTAAAAAGCACATCAACGAAAATCCTGACTTACGTTGAGGTATAGTAAATCATAATGTAAAGCTCATAAATGTTTTACTCCCCTTTTGTCATTTAAATAGGCAATACATAAAAATTACAAGTAAAATAAGAATTATCACCAGTTTTGTAATCTAATTTCACTAATGCCCTAATAAAAAAATATATTTAATTTGCACAATAAATTTCATATGAAGTTAATAAAGCTTAATGCAATTTGAAAATGAGCACATAACTTAATATTTTACTAATAAAAACTAATATTGTTTTTAAAGTAGTGTGAAAAGTCAATCAATTTATTATTTAATTTGTTATGTGCTCGCTTTTATTCTGACATTTGCGCATTTTAGAGGGTATCAGCTTATTTTGCGTAGCAGAATAGTAGTTTTATCAATTCATTGATTTTTTCGTAGATTAAACAAGTCTCTCATGCAATTTTTATTAACATGTGTTGATGAATATGCTGATGCTCCAATAAGGACTGAAAATTAATTTGAATTTATGAGCTTCCCTTATCAGATCTAATTTTGTTATAGGTATTGTATTTAATTGACTTAATATGGTGTTTTTGTTGAGGGCCCATCAGCAATAGTATCTCTCAGAAGTGCAGAATATGGATCTGACATAACAACAGGTCTATACCTTCCTATATTAACTACTTGTTTTAATCTTTCAGACTGCAATTAAAAAATGTATAATTAAAAAATATAATCAGTATTCATAGTAAACCATAATTTTAATAAAACAATTTTTCTTGTTTCAGGTGAGTCTACTTATTATATCTAGAACGTCTTCTCCTGATTTGCAAGTGAGTCTGATATTTTTCTTGTGGTTAGCAATTATAATCACTTCATCACATTCCATCAAAATTGGTAAAAATAACATGTGATTAACAAACATACCTTTAAAGCTGCAATAGCAATATCCCTTGCCNTTAAATTATTGATAGGTAATATATAATATATGAATATATGTGTTACTATTGTGTATTAGTTTCTTTTTCTACGAAGTTTTAGCAGGGCTCTTCTTTCTCTCTAGTGTATACGGTGTTTGGTATGTGCAATCAATTTTTGATGTACATTATGTTCCTAAAATTTTTATGCACTTGGAACTTCGAAGCACTTCTTATGATTTAGTTAAAACGGCCTCGAAACATTAGGAAAAGCCCTGATCCGTAACGTGTTAACTTTAATAAATAAAACGTAAAGAAAAACTGCAATTTTCTTTTAGAGAACGTATGGCAAATAGTTAATTTATGTCTATGTACTTCTGCAAACGTGAATAAATAATTACTGCCTTTCCTTTTTTTGCTTTTACTCTAAAAAACGAACGGATAAGGGATTCTATGAGCAACAATTTATTTACATTTTACCTTCTTTATGCTCAATAAAGAGAAATTTTGATCATGAGTTACAATTAATTTAGATTAATTGCTCTTATAAAATATTACAATATTATTTGTCAAAATAGATGTAACTTGTTGCTAATGGTTTATAAGTCGTGTTACTTTTTATACATTGCCTTCAAATGCCACGAGATATTAAAACGTCAGCCCGATGAAAATAATTACTACATTAATATAAATTCTATTACATGACGTAACATTAGTATAAGATGGGTTTTTCCACAATATTATTAAACAAATTACACGTAGGTATTCGTAATAACTTCATAACTGAGAAAAATGATACAGCTAAATCCGTATGTTTAAATTCTATATCTGAATTATATCTAATATAGATTCTCACTAGGTATATGGAAACAAAACTCTCCAATTTAAGTATAAGGTCGTTGTGTTATTAAAGAATGATCTAACATCCGTATAAAAGTTAAGGCCACACTATAATCCGCTTATAACGTAATTATAAAACTATTACTCGCCAATTCAAATTCTTCATCTGATAGTTGTGCCTATGTTGTGTGCATAATAATGGATTGGATCGTAAGAAAGGGTAAGTATATCCCTTTATTATGTTTACAAAATATTTACTCCAAGATTTTTAAATTAACTTTTAATTTATTCGTACTATTGCCCACAGTAAAATAAGTATCTGATCTCAACAAGTAATCAATTCAATAATTAATTATTACTATCTATACTTTTGAATTTCGAATAACTTTAAATGTTTAATCTATTTTATTTTATGTAATTTTCTGAAAGTCAACTATAACTAATAGTAAACTAATCCAATTATATTGATTTATTTTTTTATGTCTGCAAGATCGAAAAAGAAAGTTATCACTTTTCTGCATTCAGGCATTATCGACTACTACGGAGAATTTCTCTCAGAAAAAAAAATTGTTTTAGAATAAATAAAGAATTCCTTTACATAGTTGTGATTATCTAAAAAGAATTCATGCAAATTTATATGGTGGTAAGTAACTAAAAAAGAAAGGTTGTGCAAATTTAAATAAACTAGGAAAAATAAGATCGTGGTGTACAATCTAATATTTTTATTTATTCATAATTAAATGATGTATTTCCTTATGAGATTACTTCACGAACAAATGTGTAACTAAAAAATTCTTCATTTCTAAAATGATTTTGCACCTTTTCTTTTTAGTTACCGGGTTTCTTACTTACAAACAATTAAATGAAATAAATATTATATCAAAAACAAAATACCCTTCTAAAATTAACAGAATTATTTAATTGTTTTGTATATTTCAGCGCACTTTTTATCTTTTTGCCTGTTTATAATATTAACAAATGCACAAATAAATACTGAATTAGATGCAATACACGCTGCAAGTGCATCGCTTAATGATTTTGCAGTAAAACTTCTCTTGGTAAGGGCTTTGTAATTTATCAAATAACATTTAATAATAATTTTAACTTATTTACCACTTCTCTTACAAAAACCAAAACATTTTTTTGTAGCAAAGTGTAGATTATTTGGGTGAAAATTTTAATATAGCTTTAGCGCCATATCCAGTGTGGTCTCTATTAACGATTTTAGCCGAGGGGGCTAGAGATGAAACGGAAAGACAGTTAGAAGAAACATTAAGTATTCCATCTGGAAAAGATAGGGCCCAATTTAGGAAAAGCTTTAAAACGTTAAAAAAGTATTTAAAGGTAAAAACGTTTTATTACGCATATTACTTACACCTATGAAGTATCATTTTCATTGACGCTGCTTTTCCGAAAAGTGAACACTACCGTAGATAATAAAGAAAATGTATCACTATGCATTATACTAATTTTTTATCAATTTTAGCAAAAATCAGATGGTATTGAGTTAGACATATCAAATTCAATATTTGTTACCAAAGAGCAAAATTTAAATAAAACGTATCAATTATTAGTAAAAAATTTCTACGATGTCGATGTCATGCCTATCGATTTTAAAAATTTAATTCAATCTCAAAATATAATTAATTCTCATATAGCTAAATTGACCAACAATAAAATAACAAACTTGGTTACTGTAGGTAAGTGAACTTATTTGTTTAATTAAAAGATACATATTCAAATATAATACAGAATAACTGGAAATTGGTCTAATAGCATGTACTTTTTTAATTATTTTTTTAGATGATTTGGTCGATGCTCAAATACTTTTAACGAGCACTTTGTATTTTAAAGGTCGGTGGATGTTACCATTTAATAAATCTGCCACATTTAAAGATAAATTTTATGACGAAAAGGGTAATGAAAAAGGGGAAGTTATGATGATGTATCAAATAGGAACATTTCCCTTTTTCATGTTACCTAATATTAAAGCTCATGTTGTGGAATTACCATACGGAAAGGTAAAAAAAAAACTTTTTAAAATTGTACAGTACAGCTTAAAAATTATTACTCATTCCGTTTAATTTAACATTACACACATTACTTTTAGGGAGACAGAATGTCAATGATAGTCGTTCTACCCAGAAAAAAAGAAGAACTTTCAACAATTTTAAAGAAGATTTCTGCAATGCCCTTTAAAGTTATTTTAGAAGCCCTTGAAGATGCACGACAGTATGACGAAGATGTAATGATGTATTTACCCCGTTTTTCCATTATTTCGGACTTTATTCTCAATGCAATATTATATGAAGTGCGTTAAAATAGTTATTAAACCGAAGAAAATCTACATAATAAATTTAAATATTGTAGATGGGCATCAAGGATGTTTTTAACGAAAATGTGGCAAATTTGTTAGGTATTTTTCCAGAATATCTTTATTTAAGTCGCGTTATTCAACAAGCTAAAATTGATGTTGATGAAGAAGGCACAGAAGCAGCAGCCGCTGCAGGTAATAAACAAAAATTAACTTAATTTTGGAGCTATCTAATAATTGTTTCATATTTTATAGGGGGCGTTGTCTCATTTAAAAACACTCCACCACGATTTTATGCCAACAAGCCTTTTGCATTCTTTATTATCGATAAACAAACTAAAAGTATAGTGTTTGAAGGTAAAGTTTCAAATCCAAGTTCCATTTGCTCCACTTGTAACGTTCCTTAATTCATTATTTTATTTTTTAACTAGGTTTTTTTTGTAAAGTGTTATAGAAAATAAAGATTTAGTGTTCCTACATTACCTTTCTTGTTATAATATTAACCTTTTAATTTTTCAGTTTAATAAAAAATAAAAATAGTTAATGGTTAGTAAGTAAAAGTTTACTAAAAAAATATAAATCACAGTTTTTAAATTCTTGAATACTAGTTGCACAAGTACAAATAAGATACAAATTTTGATAACTGCCTTAAGTCTATTATTTGCACTTATTGTAGAAGGTAATCTTTATAATTCCGTAAAGACTTCATTTGCTTCTTAAGCTGCTTAATTAAATCTAACGGTTGCACTAGAATCGAAATATCACGTCCGACTGAATTAAGGCGATCCCTGACTTGATTATCTTTAAAAAATAAATTTAATGGTCGACCATTTATTTCGGTTAAAACCCAATTAGTAAACGATAGTCCGTCACATGTCCTCGCTTTTGCAGACAATCCATGTTTTGCAGCCAGACTGCCGTTTTCGACCGTTTGAATGACTGCAGTTGAACCTTCTTGAATTATACCCAAAGACTGCCCATCGAAATCCCTTCGTATTACTAACACTTGTCCAAAGGGTACTCTTTTAATAATCACATTTACCTGAAGATTCGTTTTTGTAATTTAACTTGTTAGTTAATTTGAAAACTTACAACTTACATATAAACTACAAATTGACCTTAGTATTTTATTGGCATCATTGACATTTTGAATTGATATGCCTTCAATATTAAGAAGCTGATCTCCAATGTGTAATGCATTGTAAAGCATTGGATGCTCCTTTTGTTTCCAACCACACACCCTAAAATAAATTGATTTATAAAATTATGATGAATTAATAATCTTTAATAAATATTACCAGACATGCCCCATAGCATCTGCCAAAGCAATAGAATTTATGCAATCCTTTCTTCTTAATTGCAGCCTCACACCTGCAGGATGTTTCATTTCCTTTTGAAGTTGCAGTACTTGTTGTTCTCTAAGAGTACGATAAGGCTGTGGGGCTGGCTGTAATCTTCTTGGGGAACTGTTAGATCTTTGCACAAGTACAGCTCTGTTAGAAGGACCTTAAATCAACACAGTTATATTTTACCTTTATATATTTTCCTTAATTACTATTAAAGAAAATTATTTAATTAAATATGTTATACCTGGTTGCTGATTATTAAACAATCTTTCATAGTAAGTATTTCTAGCATCTGGAGGGGGTGCAGAACCTGGACATATAGACGCATTAGTGGAAGAACTTACATTTAAATTGTTTAAATCAAAATTGAAAATATCATTTTCTGATGTAGAATTTCCTTCAACTTGAATAATTGTTACATTTTCTTCATTTCTTTCAACAACTGCTTCACTGATATTTTGATCAGAAACATTTGTTCCTTCAGGCAAAGAAATGCCCCTTTGCAGTGACCTTAAAAGTTGTTCAATCTAATATTCCTTTAAAGATTATGTAACAATTTTACCTGTGATTATTTGTAAGTAATAAAGGTGTTTGATTTGTTTCAGGTCTGTCTTCGTTCTGAAATTCTGAAGAGATCAATGGTTCAACTCCAGGAGGTACTGTTGGAGGAATAGATGGAGGAGGTGGAAGGGGAGATGTAGGATCCCTTGTAGGTAATAGTGGATTAGTACGAGATTCTGGTAGTTTACTATAAATATTTTCTCTTGGACTTAAAATTTTTAATTCATATAATTTAGCACGTAAACTTTCAACCCAGTCTAGCATGAGTTCTCTTGTTGGTGCTGCCAGTCTTACAACATCAGTACTTAGAGTTATCACAAATTCATATTCCTGCTCATGAGCACATATAGTAGGGGAAACATGTTTTGTATTGTTTAAACATATGAACCACTCAGGCTTATGTGAAATTGCCGATTTATTGTCAAAATATGTTTCCAAAAATACTTCAGTATCATCATGTACACAAAAGACAGTCCACACACGTTTTTTCTAAAATACAAAACATTATAAAAAAGACAGCAAACATCACATGTTGTTACCATCACCTTTTTTGGATCTTTAGAAGGTATTTTGGTTAACCAAGTATTTTTATGTATTTCTCGAAACAGTGAATTTCCAAAGTGACGAATGTTTGCTTCTGCCATGATTACTATTTGATAAATTAAATGAGAAATGTAGAAATTCCAAAAATTGTGGCATACTTAATAGACATTATCTTTGTTTCTAACTTAACTAAATTTTGTTGCTAAATTATTCTTCCTGTAAAACTATTTTCTTTAAAGCAAGTTATATTTCTGAAATAACACATTATATAATTTTAAAATAATACTGAATCAATTAACTGCACTAAAATTGTTTAATACTTTTATGATACTTTTCATAAAGTTACAGCAGACTTCTTTTTTTATTGTTAATTATGGACGTGGCCACTGAAAGCGTCGAATTATTTAACCTTCAAAAACTGTCAAAATATATAGGCCCTTAATTTCTAACATAATGTTTCAGAAAAGTCAGAAAGGTTTCATTTAATGTTGGTTGAATTACATTATTTTAATTAAAATATAAAGTTATACATACTTAAGCTAAATATTTTAAAAAATCGCGAAATGCCGCCATAGAATTTTACACCAATCACATGATTCCTTGTTGTCTTGACAACGCAAACAAACGGACGAAAATTTATTATGCACTTAATTTTCGGTCGTTCTATTACATATTTTACTGTTTTGCGTTGAAATTTAAGTGAAATATGTGAATTCTTCAAGAATTATTCCTTGCAGGTAGGTTACGTAGTTTTGTTATGAATACTTCTCAAATATTGCAGTAATTTATTTGTGATCATATCAGCATTCAAATTACAAATAAAAGAGCTGTTATCCCTATTGTATATATATATATTTTATTTAATTTCAACATTAGAATTACAAACAATAATTTGTGCATAACTAAACCTACATTTTTATAAGAATAAATTACATATAATGAAAAAACGAAGATTACAAAAATGTCGCCGTTATTGCTTTTTTGCAGAAATATTGAGCATTCATGAAATCATTGATCATAACATTCTTCTTAAATATTATTTGCAAAGCTTCGTCCCATTAGCTTTTTTTCTATCACAGGATGACTTAAGACCAATTCGATTGCCTCTTATAGGCAAATATATTATTTAATCTAGTTTGTAACATTAAAAATAATCAAAACTGAAAAAGTGACGAAGTAGGCGATATAAGAGTTGAAACTTTTTTCCAATAATTTTAATAAAGAACACAATGATTTAATTTGTGCATGTGTTTAGTATGCAATACAATATCACAAACGTCTAACTATATATTTGTAAAATAATGTAACGTACACTATGCGAATACCCTTTTCACTAACAATATTTTTTTCTACGTATATTTCAGTAGTCTAGTCTACTTTAAGATATTATAAGTAGTGACACGCCTATTTCTGCTACGAGAGACCAATTGAACATTATCATTTACAAAATGTTCTTTGTAAAACTTCTAATAAATTCGCGGTAAAAGTAAAATGTAAGACAGGCTATTAGTGTTACAGAAAACAAAAATTAAACCCTAACAAATGAAAATGATTGTCATAGTTGTTCTTTAATGTAGAACTGAATTATTTTAACATTTCAATTTTTTTTTAATCTACTGAAACCCGTAGAAAATATGTTTACGTGTTTACTGTTAATAATTTTAAACAGAAGAAAAAATTTTTGAAATAACTGGAAAATATGTTTAAATTTTCTCCTGGTTTCAATATTAACTGACCTTTGTCTTGCAGTAAGTACTATAAAAAATAACAAAACAAATTTGAAATGTAATAATTACTTGCTGTCGTTTAACAGCATTTATTAAAGAAAACAATAAAATAAAATTAATAAAAAGGACCAAAACATAACATAAAAAATAAAAAATGTTAGAGATTCTGAATATATAGGATTCCTAACTACTTCGTAATATAATATTATTAAATTTCTCTATATATCTTCTAACTACATTTTCTTGCACCATTTTAACACATTAATATCTTTTCAAAAGCTGATTTCCTCCTCAATTAATTAAAACAGTAGAACTAAATTTAACAACATGAATATAAGATAAAAAAAGATAAGTACAGCATTTCACGGTAAATTGGATGTGTGCAAATAAGAGGAGGCAGAATTTAGTAACCCCAACCTTTGTTTATGCTTACGCTGTTCAGTCATCTGATCCTTAAGTTCTAAAAGTTGTTGCGACAAGGTAGAAACTAACAATTGAGTTGTTTCTAACTGCGACTGCAGACTACGCAATTCCAATTGTTCAGCGTCTCCCTCGACTGCAGATAGTGACATAGCTCGTAAACGTGGAAACCAATCTAAATTAGAAGCCTTAACCATTTCATAGACATAACTCTCAGGTCCCGTAAACTCAGTTGGATCTTTGACTTTTATAAGGACAATAAAGTACAAGTAGTGCCACATATTATGCTCGCTCTGAATATGCTCCTCAAAACTAACGGTTTTATTGTCAAATGCCGATCTATGAAGACCTGTAGAAAAAAGAAACATAAAAACAATAAATACTGAAATTAAAAGGAGCACTTACCGCAAATAAAACATGTATTTTTCAAAATTAATTCCTTCTGTTGTTTCTCAGATCTGAGATCGGCAAAAGTATCGATGATTACACCAAAAATCAAATTAAGTACAATAATTATAACGATGAAGAAGAACAGCAAATCATACACGACTCTAGCAACAAATAGTGCTTCCTAAAATAATACAAATCTGTAAATACTTCACAAAAGATGTATATATAAATATTATAGCATTCTATGTACTTACTGTACTACTAGGTGCTCTTAGAATATCGCCAATACCTCCACCATTTCGGAGACCCTGATTTAGTGTTGTTACTATACACATTATCAGAGAATCACAAGCTCTTTCTTTAACTTCATCTCCAATCACTAAAGGCTGCGGCTTTTCTACTAATTTACAAAACTGTTCTTGAGAATTAGCTCCATATTTTGATACAGTTTCACACACTACTTGATCAGGAGAATATGTTTCTAAAATATATCCATTAAATTTTACAATATGAATAAATCTAAACATATATAAATAACGTGTAAAAAATAACAAAAAAGAAGTCGCACAAACTAAAACAACATATAAACTATTTTGTTTAGTTTCTTTTTTCTAAAACCATTTCAGGTATATTACGCATTTTTCTTTTCTTTCAGTTTACCATCTAATGGACACAAAAAACAAGCAGAATGAGCATCTTAAAAGTCATTTTTGAACAAAACGTGTTAGTAGTGAGATGTAGGACTCTGCAAGCTTCACAGTGTAAGTCTCTTTTTTTATATATTTTAATTTTTAAATGTTTAATTACATTTAACTCAAAAACATGCTTAAAATAGTATAATATTCACATGCAAAAATAAGCGTATTTTTACAAACTACCAAACTATTTACCTTGTACGTAATTAGATGACGTTAACCTGTTCATCAAAAAACATTTACTAGGCCAACAGTAATTCTAAATATTGAAAGCTTTAACATTCAAGGAAAAAGGTACGACATATTTTTCGAAAAGCTTACCTTTAATATCTTCATCTACGCTTACAAGAAAATCGTCTTTGAAAAACATATAACCAATTATTGAGAACATATAAACCAATATCAGAGCCAAAACCGCAGTCAAAATAATTGATCTGCCATTCCTTGTTACTGAACGAATCACGTTTAAAAGCGTCTCTTCACGGTACACTACATCAAATAACTTAAAAAAAATAAAATTAGATAACGTCAAGGCATAATAATATAAAACTTACCAAAACAGAGTAAAAGAAGGGATGCATAGTCAATCCTAATATGCAAATAACTAAATACGAAATGTGGTAAAGTAGTTCAGCATCTGTGATTATTTGGTAGTATGTTTTGGTTAAAGTACCATGATTGCCCATTATGCTAACTAAATGAATGCCTTTCAAGAAAACTGTAAGTATCCCTAATAGCCATAGAGTCGGTTCCGGACCCAGGGAAAATATAAGTCTCAAAATTATCGATACAACTAAAGTCCTTATAGCCATTTCTCTAGGTAAAGTTATTACTATTGTAGTAGAAGCTAACATAGAAGTCCAAATTAATCCTGATACTGTTGAATTTAACTCTAAAATTAATTAAACGTTTACATTATTTGACATAATTACAGTAATTAAATTACTTACTTGGCACGGTGTCATTAAAAGGATAGAAAAACGCGACAATTAAATTTATTACTACGGCGCAATTAAAGAGACAGTTACTCCACAAAGACATATAGCTGCTAACCCAAAACAGCATATGTTGAGCTTGAATAAAAACAGATTACATATATTATGTTTAAAAAATTACTACAATAAATAATTCTTTTACCTCTTAGTTTCTTTTGCCACTTCATTTCGTTAAACATTTCCTCAGTCCTTTCGAAAAAATCTGCTACTTTGGAGCCCTGGTCGTCTTTCTCAGCGGTGTGAAGTACTTTAATTTTTGTATCCGTCGTAATATATTCACAGATTTCAGGAATTGGGAAAACTATTTGTTCTAGGGTACGGTCTTGACGAACGATTTCTATTTGAGCAGTATGTGTAGCATAGTACATTAAAGCTTTGTGAGTTTTGGGGTCATACCCTTCACCGGGCTTTAAAAGGGACGCTAATTCTTTGTTATGTTGGGCTAGCTGATGACACAGGATATAAATATTGTGTCCCACTTCACGAGGTGATACGGTCTCGTCTGTTGTGACATCTTTATCTCCAAAATCATCGTCGTCTAAAGCTTCTTGGTGATAGGCTCTACAAGCCACTTCCAGTAATTGTTTTGGATTCATGTTGTATAAGATTCTGTCCGCATTTTCGCTATCTCCTCTGCTTTCCATTATTGCTAAAAGTAACTTTGACGCGTTGTTCTTTAACTCCAACACTAAATCCATTCTGGTTTTCCCCAAAGGATTGATATCATTTAAGATGAGAGCAGTAATAATATCTAAACCATTCGATTCATGGCCGGCAATACAATTCTGATTATCGTGACAAGGTCCCTGACAATATTCTGTCAACGTTTCTAACGTTTGATTTATTAAAAACACGTTATTTTCGTTGATATACAGTCCCAAAAGCCCTAATCCTCCGGTCGTTGAACCACAAATGCAATCCAAGAATGTAAGAGTTTCTGATACCAAGTTGTGGTTCGTTTTATTATTTTGATTTCTAAGCAAATTTTGTAGGGTTTGGTTGTGATTTTCGCATAACAATTGTAAAAATCTCAGTATAGGTTGCATTATTAATATTTTGCCTGAAAGACGTGTTTGATCATCTTGTTCTTTGTGTTTCTCTAGTTTTTCCGCTAAAAGGTCTTCAAAGGCAGAAGCTGCACCTGAATTTATTGCGCTATGGTCATCACCTGACGCCAGACTTCGTACATTTGCATAGGCCTGACATGTACTTTCAGCAGCATGGTCCAATTCTTCCCTTAATTCATCACTTATAATGATGCCGTTCGTTTTTAAACCATGTTTTTTAGACAGCCTATCCCCATCTTTTCCATCCTGTTTATCTTCATGCGCTTTTGCTGCTATATCAGATGTGTTAACCGTTACCGTCGATTTTATTTCTTGTTGAGCATCACGCATTTTATCATAAAATACCTAAAATAATCTTAATTATTCTTTGCTTAATTTACTCCAGTTTAAACTGAAACATGCCTTAAAGAACGATTGGCTAAGTTCTCCTTTAACAAGTTTGTTAAATATACTTTTTTGAATGATAGGGTTACCCCCTTCTAAAAGAGCAATGCCCAATTGTACAACTTCTCCAAAAATCGAAGGAGAATTAATAGATTTAATAACCAATTCTACTACCAAATCAGAAGCTCCTTCTTTGTCTAAATGAGTTTGAACTTCATGTAGAGTACGATTAGCACGACTTATTAATTTTGCTGAAACAAACGCTTTTCTTTTACAACAATATTTACATATGTACATTGAATCACTTACCTCCTGGACCATGAATTATCGACGATAACTTTAAACTACTTAAATCGAGTGTTTCGTTCTTTTGCACAAAAGTTTTTCCAAAATACCTCGTTAGCAAACTGTTTCGTAAATATTCACCCTGCACCATAAATTCCAAATACATTTAGTAACATATAAGTAAATATGTATTTAAAGATTAAATAAAAAAAAACGTGTTTATAAATAATTATAAATTACTAATGTAGGTGTACGAAATAAAAAAGAAAACATTTAAAATAGATTCACGATAGAAAAACAGAATAATAATACACGAGTACAACATTTCATCAGACAAAGTGCAATATTTCAAAAGAGACTTTTTGTGGAAGTGTGGCAGACAATTAATTTTTTATTTTTACATGTACGTCGAACATCAAACCATACCGTTTTGTTTTCTTCGGTTTCATTGGTTTCTTTCTTCAATGCAGCATGTTAAAAACAATAAAAAATAAAATAAACAGTAAATATGATATTGATTACCATGATTACTAACGATAAGTGACAAAAAAAATGTAAATCAAAACTAAGAATACCTTCTCTCCATACTCGGGATCTATAGACATCATTTCTCTTAGAGTTCTTAACACTTTTACACATAACTTTTCCTCCTTTTCTTCTAATAATTTCTCTGTGTGCTTTATAAGCCTAGTTAAAAATAGTAATTTAATTAATATAAAATATACACACAATTACTTAAATACCTTTTAATAAAACCTCCACTTTCGCATTTTTTCCGAGATTCTGAAGACGGAGGAAATAATAATTCTGGCCTGTAAAGTACATCTACTAATAATGATAACTCAGCCTGTACTAAAGGTTTTAATTGATCTTCTAAAAGAGAAACTATGTCTTGCAAACCTTCTATTATACTTCTATCTAAACGCATTAACTAAAATAATAAATAATTAATCAGTTATTATTAGACAATAAAAAATAGGCATACTTGTGACTGCGATCTTTCAATTTTTGGTTGCTTAGAAGCTTGTAACCATTTACTAGTTTGACGAGTTAACAAAATTGCCTTATTAAACATGGCATTTACCTGCACTTCTAAGTCTAGTGGTATAGCTATGCCACGATTTTTAGCTGAAATAGTGGTTTTATTTATACTTTGTAAAACTTGTAGTTTCAAAAATCCCTTACCAACATCAGATAATGCGCGTATACAATTTTCTACATTAAAGCGCTGAGATGGAGTAAGCCAAGGACATTGAGACACTCTAAATGCCGAATGTAAAAGCTGGACAAAAATTGGCTGTCTAGTCTGAAATACGTACAGCAAATACAAACAAAAAATTTAAAACAACGGAAAAGGTGTCAATATAATATATTTCAAAGTCATTTTATTAACATTTATTCTGTGTTTTAAAAGTTACGTTTATGTGCAAGTTAGTGTAAAAGTTTTTACGTTATCAGGAAAACTGCATGCACAATAGTTATTCCTTTTTGTTAGTGGTATGTATGTGTGTACACTTATGAAGGTAATAAGCAAAACAAAAGTTAGACATTAACAAATAAGAAACTACCAGATATTAGAAGTTAAGTTGGTTAAGTCCATAGGTTGCGATTTTAGTTTAAAAAACGAATACTCACGTTAAGTGGAAATGGTGACGTTTTAAGAGGCGTGTTTATTGTAAAAGGATCATAATCCTCCAAAGTGGAGTCGCTCCAAAATACCCGGGCTTCATGCAGGTGTTTCTGACCCATCACCCAACATAGTATTAGAGAGAAACAGTTTGCAATTGACACAATTTTGTTAAAGCATTTACGAAAAATACCATTTTTCCAAGTGTTGAAAACTTTTTATAACGATAAGACATCTCTTAATTATAAAAAAAGATAAAATATTATTGATCCTAAGCATGCAAATTTAGCCTCTTTTATATATACAATTATTTATTTGAGTTAAATAAATGCTACAGCACTTACTCTTCTAAATAAAAAAACACTAAAAGTTTAAAAGACTAAATGCTTTGTAACATCTAATTAATTGTTTCCCTGATAAAAAAAACACGTTTCCAACACCATTTAACCCAGAATAAAGCTAAAGAAAATGGCCACCAAAGCACACATTCTCAGAAAACTTGCAAATTGTTATCATTCATTTTACCTGTACAGTTGTGCTTTGATCTGAAAATGGACTGCTGAAAAATGTAGTTATTATATTCATGACCCCATTTGTAACGTAGTTCTCTAGGGCTTTATCTGGATGTTTTCTATCATCAGGAGCAGTTGCAATATCAGCCATATCAACTAGAAAGGATTTCTCAAACAACGTCCACATGTGATTGGATGTATAAATTTCCTTCCAAAAGAAAAAAATAATATCGGAAAAACAATGCAGAAAATATCCAATTAAAAAGTCTTTCAATTTGTTGAAAAAAAGTTAACAAATGAAAAAATACTAACCTTCATTTCGACTTCAGTATCTATGTAACAATGATTAAGAAATCCTACATAGGCCTCTTTTACTTCAGGTATACAGTCAGGGTGAGTCACCATAGCAACAATATCGTCTAGTGGTAATAAACTGTGACATTTTATTTCGGTATAAACGTTTTTACCCATAGTACAGCACGCCAATAATTTAACAAGTTCAACATGATATCGTAGGGGACTACTTTCGTCCATGCTGTGCCTCTCTGAACGCATCATTTCCACAAAATAATTAAACGAAGCTTTATCATTGTAAAATACTAAAACGTCTTCTCCAGCATTTATCAGCTAAGTTTTTGTATAGAAATTAGATTATTAAAAATAAATCGAATTACGAAATTTTTAACTTACTTCTTGCATTACCATATCCTGGCACTTTCTTATAAATTGATTTTCAGCTTTTACAATTGTTTGCAAAAATTTTAAGTATTGCACGTGCCTTCCGTGACTTTCAATGCAATGAACAAAATGCTGGATAACTTTTTCATTAACTTCGTTACACAATGTGGAATTGTCTTGAAATATTGCACAAACAGTCTGAGCTTCTCGTATCTAAAAAAAATGCATTGTTGAAAACTTCCGCCCAATAGAAATTAACAAAATGGCTTACCCCAGGGTTCAGAAACAAATCTAAATGTTTGTACAATAAAACTTGATTTTGCTGGTTGCCAAGACAGAAATTTTGTAGAAATTCATGTGCCAATCGCATAAGTTCATTCATTCTAACATCTTCCTTTTCATCATAAGGTATTTGTAGAAGATCTAAGACAACAGTGTGTACACCAACGTTTCTTAAAAGTCTTTGTTCGTGTTTTTTAGGTTTGACAACATTTCCGGGAGACCCTTGAATGCAAAGTTTGTTCATTCTTATTAAAATTTTCTGAATCTTCTTGTATTCATCGGCTTGTTCAGGATGAAGAGGCGGACCAACATCCAAATTAATAGCAGAACCTTTCTTTTCGATTGAACTTAAAACAGGGGGAGACTTTCGCGATACGTTCTCCTCGTAATCTTCTTTATTTTTTTTTCCTTCATAAAAAAAGAAAAAACGAAATTATTACAACAAATTTTAAACAAAATTATTTAAACACACCTGTCACTTCTTCAGACCCTTTTGATTTATAAACCCACAGTTCCGATTTTTCTACAGACTGTCGTAAAACATCCAAATCTGCTTTTATTTGTTTATATGATTCGACGTCAGCATCAGAAACTAGTAATTGTACCTATACATAACGACACAAGTTAATTTCAACAATACCCCCTTATGTGCGTTTCTTACTTGTCTAAACGATTGTAAAACTTCCTGCCTTTGACTAAAGTGTCTAAAAAGCAAGTGGAGGGCCCCCGACACAAGAGGGGGGTAATCGTGCATTGTTAAGTGTAAAAGAACCCTTAAAAAAGTTCTACCTCCATGACCGTCTAAATCTAAGACTTCAGATTCATCACTGCTTCCAAAAATACCTTCAGCTTGACTTGCTATAATTTCTAAATCGATATTTTTGTGACTCAATGCTAAGGAATCTTCGTTGTTTTTTTCAGCCTCATCAAACTCCTGTTTGAATATACTTAAGAGGCAACTTATGCGATAATCTAACCTGACGTCTAAGATGAACTAATAAAGAGATTGTAAATAGTTTAATAAATGAGAATTCATAATATGATAAAACATTCTAGGGATTTAAAAAAAATAATACGAAATTACTTTTTGTACCTGCAATATTTCAATTATCTTCAATTTAGTGTCCATAACAAGTGGATTTTCTTTAGAATGCAATTTAGGCTGATTATTAGACGAAGACACAGCAGCCCTACCTGCAGATCCTAGGGTAAGCGATGTCATTACAGCACCCATATCACCGATTGTACGTAAAACACCACCGTCAGCTATTAAAAAAAAAAAAAAGTAATTTACACATCTACAGTCAAATTTTTTCAAACCCCCGGTATATAAACTTTAATACTTGCTTACAATCATTATCTCCTGCTGATAATTGCCTATCATTATAGTCACTTTCAGACACACAGTCTAATATATTGAGCAAAGTTTTTGTCAATCTTAACAAACCAGAAAAGCTATAAAAGCCAAAATATATTAGTTCTCTGGCAAGTTTAACAACCTGAAACAATTTGTTAGCATTTTTTTAAATTAGCACAAGAACAATAATAAATGAATACCTCAAACGTTAATTTATTTTGATCTTGATCTGCAAATGACCACATTTTAGCAACCACATTACATAAATAGTCTTCAACAAAAGCAATGGTTGAGCAAAATCTCGATCTCACAGCTTCCTTATTTGGATAGGATGTTTTATTGCTATCATAACTAAAATTAAAAGTGAAAAGGTTCAACATTTTAATACAAATAATCTACTTACTCATGAATGGACATTTTTGACGGTATTTCCGACCACAGTCTGGCATACTTAACAGGAGTTACGGATTCTTGTGGATCCCTATCAACATGCATATGTAACATCAATCTACAGAAAGACGCTCTTAAATCGTAGCTAATATTTTCATCGGACATACACTTTAAAATCAGATCTACATCGAGGAGGGGTGACAAATTATTTAAAGCTAAGTATTGACGATTTAGGCACATGTTAGAAAACAAATCGAGCTGATGGCGGTAGTAATCTAGAATTGCTTGGTCCTCTTTACTTCCTAGTTTTGCTTTGCAACATAAATCGATTAGGGCCTGCGACTTTTGACGGTTATTCCACAACAGAACTACTTGCTGCTCTTCTACAACTACAGGTTCTAAATCAGTCTCATCTTTTTCAAACAAAGAGTCTTCATGTTCTTCCACTTGAGTTTTCATCATTACTGTTTCAATTAAAATATCCGAATTCTTTTGACTAAGTACACTTTTGCAAATCAATTCTTGAGTAACAGGAATAGCCTTTTTATTGGAGATACACAAATCAGAGAGATAATCTAAAAAACGAGATTCCCAGTTATGCATGTTTTTTCGTACTAAACCCACAAAAGTCTCGATTTCTGCAGGAGTTATGTGTTTCTCCAAAAGTTTGCGATTGTTATGTAATAAAGCAGTTATTGTATCTTCGGCCAAGATGTCATACCCGATTTGTTTTTGCATAAACCCAAAATGCTTTGCGATGTACTCCTAATAAATATAAAACTATTAATTTAGCTGTGGTGGGAAAGACTAAAATTTAATCACAAAACCTGATTTTTTCGGTAATCCTGCTGACTTAAACGCAGTATGCGGTAACACAATCTAAAAATATACTTGTAAGGGGCATGTCTCGGATCATTCAACTCCTCTAACTTTAAAAACGCTGGCTCTCCACTTGGAGAATCCATAAATGGTCTCTATAATTAAAAAAAAATAACCAGTTGATGAAAGCGAAATATTCAATGCTACTTTTACCTGTAAAATTTTAAATAACTGTTTTAATATAGCTTGTTCTCTCAATAATTTTTGCCTATCTCTATTAGGATTAGTAACAGTCAATTCAAGAGCTTCCATTTTATTTTGTTCGTTTTCCATATCAGCAATAAAATAAACAATGTCCTGAAGTAAATTAGTAACGGCCCTAAAAAAGTTAAGTTTCAAACGAAAAGGTCAAAAAATTATAACATTTAATTTATTACCGTCTTTCGTTATGAGATATTGTCCCATGTTCTAACTTTGCGGACAGAGAAGAAAGAACCTTACATGCATCGTTGGCAAAATCCAAATCTCGGACTTCAATAGGCGAGACTGATATAAGAGCAAAAGCCTCCTTATCTTCTTTCATTGGAGCACAGCCCACTTTAGACATGACTGGTTTTTCTTCATCTTTATCAATTGGAATTGAAGTAGAATGAACCCAAGTATTTGTAACTAAATTGTGAAGTCTAACATAACTAGACTGTGGAACTAGTGAATCTGCCCTAGTCAGTGTTGTTGGATCTAACTCGAATAAAGATGCTATCTCATTGGGATATGCTACTGGTACTAAATGATACACGTTTGTGTCAGCGTTTGAATTTTCTTGTTTAAGTTTTCCATGAGTTTCATAAATTGATTGATCCGGATCTACCAATATGTGAAAGCAATTTAACAATTATAAATATTCGTAAGATTTTTAAAACAACTTACCTAGGTCTGCTGCCAAGTACTGTCCAGTAGCTAAATGTTTAAATCGAAACAACGAATTCCAATGGCCAGCACCACCTCTACAAGAGTCATGTTGCACCACTTCGATTTCCCATAAGGCTTTACTACTTGTTGCACTAGTGGCACTAGTACGACCAGTTGTGCGCAAAAAAACATGCTGAGTCTTTTTATATTCATCCATAGTAAGAAATTTTTCTTGTTCAGCATGGAACAAACGTACCACATCTCCACCTTTTATAAAATCATATTTACAGTATACATATATACAGACAGTAATTTATATTTATGTGAAATTAATTACTGGCCATTACCTTTAAGAACATCTTCTGCATTTTCTCTATGCTCCATAAACAAGGTAACTTTCCAAGATGTACTGCCATTAACCACATTGACTTCTTTACATCCAGGATTATCAGGCAATTCATGATTAGCAGCTACATGTAAGACTTGTTGACCAGCATTAACAGGATTTAAAATGACTTTATCTCCTAAAACTATGTTATCACCAGTTGCACGAAGCTTGTAAAAGGGTAGAATATAGAACCATGAGCCTTCATTTCCACTACCATCTAAGTACACTCTCATAGCATTTTTCTCTAACAGGGCCGGTAACCTTTTATTAACAGTTAAGTACTTATTTGACTTCAGGTGAAGTAACTTAAAATACACATATTAGACCTAATTAAAGGAAAGAGTAGAATAATTACTTGCACTACACTCCCATATTGCACATTTGTCCCCAATAATTTTTTATTTTCACTTTCATTTTGTTTCTTTTCAATTTCTGCTGCATGCTACAAATGCAATTAATATACAGTACTCAGAGAACAAACAATTTAGAATAGGAATAACATACATGTAATCTTTTTATTAAATTAGTATCTGCATTTGGACCCATACTCTGTTTAGCAGCTTTCCAAAACTGCTTTTGAGCAGAATAACGATTCATTGGACATATTTTAAACAGACAATCTAAAGCAACAAACTTTTAGTAAATATAAATTAATTGTTTGGATTGTCTTTACCTCTAAATTTTTTTGGAGGATTACTGAGATCTCCTGCCTCTGGGCATACCACACATCTATCATCAACCAAACTAAAAAAAGAAATACACTAACAGTTTTAGAATAACTTCAAACTGGAGTTGTACATACCCTAAAGTACTTAAAAAGCCGCAAACGCTGCCTTCTGCATATAAGGATACTATGTCCCCCATATGCAGTAAACTTGAAGACCCCATTTCAACCATGGTTGAATTGCACTTGGCAAAGGGCAGTGTCACTGTTGAGCAGATCTGAACCTTAAATAACACATTTTACAATGGAAACAATTTTACTAATGATATTCCTGAAAACTTCACAATAACATTGGTGAATTAAAAAAGTTAGGTTATTAACTCACCAAGTTTTATTTTTAAACATAATAACGATATGAAATCGAATCAAAAATATTCTGAATATAGATAAATTAAACACACTGTTTTCAGAACTTCATTCATTTGTCGGCACGTTTCTTGTTAGGTAAATAAACTAAAAATATAGTCCTACATTTCACAACCTCCCAATTTTTTGAGTACGCGTAGTTGCCACAATCCACAATACCTATGATGTATATCCAAGGACATTTAAATATTTAAAGTTCGTAAAATTCTCTGTACATTTGCCGCAGATCAAAAATAAAAGAAAAAATTTTTTCAAAAAAAAAAATGCTTTTTATTGAGGTACACAACTGCAAAATAAAATTAAGTAAAAAAAGCTTTTTTTAATAGATGCTTTTATTGATACGCTCAAAAAAGCAAGAAATAAAGATTTCCTTTTTTTATATGAATAATAGTCTATATCATCTATGCCATATTTTGATTTTCTTTAATTAACAGAATGCAATTAATTGATTCTGCATTATGTATTAGTATGCAAAGTACATATTATCTCATCTTTTGGTACAAAATAACCACATATTGTATAAACCTAATAACTTTATAAACGCTTAAAATACTGAATAATTATTATACATCAAGGTCATTAATAATTCGGGCATAGGTGAATTAAACCACAGAAACTGTTTGTTAATATTAC